ATAGAAAAAGAGCGAACAAAATTTAGAGATAGAGTATAAAATAGTTATATGCATAATAAAAGGTAGACGGTATAATAAAATGAAATAAACCAATAGAAGTAGCTGTTCCAGGAACTATCGAAACAGACCTTTAGCATGCAGCACCGACCACCATATCTTGTAACTCTACTAGCAACAATTGGTCAAGTTATTCTAAATTCTTCAAAACATAAAACAAACTCTTATATGTACTTTATACATATAAAATGTGTACAAGAAATGCTCGATACGGGACCGATACATCAAATGACTGTCCACAATAATCATATGTATGCTTAAATCTTTGAAATATCGATGCTTGTCATTGCTCCTATAGAATCTAGCCATTAAAAATAGACAGTGGGAAGTATTTAACACCATCTAAGTCCATACACTAGCTTTTGGCTATAGCACTCTGACTTATATTTTGCTAATTTTCCTTTGCTTACCGCGCATGCAGGAACTCGGTTAGTTTCTTTTTGTGCTCGTTCTCGTAACGCTTCAGGTATTGTTCCATTAGCTTGGACAGTTGCATTTCGATTTTGTAGGCCAGCTCGTGCATGCTTTTCGGCTGCAAGGGTGTCGCACCGCTGCTTGGTTGCAGCTGCTGCTGCTGTTGTTGAATCTTGCTAACTTCGTGCTCCAGTTTATGAAGCTGCAGCGATTGCGCCTTGACCAGATCTGGAATAGTAAATAATAAATTATGAATTCTGTACATTCTGTAGCTAAATTTATTTCTCCACCCACCCAAAAGTTGTTCCAGTTTTGCATTAATCTCCGCATTGCCAGTGGAATTTTCAATTGCTGCATTGTGGCTGCAGCTGCTGATGTTGTTGTTGCCGCTGCTGTTTAATGTTGTTGTCGTGTTGTTGCTGCAGCTGCTGTTGCCAAGCGTGGGCGGCACATTGCCATTGTTCTTGTGCTGCACCGCTTGCGACATGATTTGTGCCGCATTTTGAAGTTCTGCGGATTTTTTGGTTGGCAGCTTGGAATCCTGTGACGGCCAATTGGTCGTTGTAGCTGCCGTTTCCTCGGTTGGTGAATTGGCCAACTCTTCCTCGGTTCTAAAATGTAAAAAAGCAAAAATTAATTAAAATAAAGAGGTCCAAGTATTATTAAGTTGTTCTCACTTTTTTTCCGTTTTGCATAGCATAAAGTAGGGGTTCTCTTCGTCAGATTCTAGATTCTCCAATTCCGGTTCGTAGTCATCTGCATCCTCTTGGGTGGCCATAATCTCTTGCACTTCACGACTTGGACTGGAACCGCCACTGGCTAAATTCTCACCCGCATTGCGTTCCGGATTGCGATCAATGGCTATGAACTTTTTGCGCGCATCCATTTTGTCTTTTAGCTTCTGCTGTTCCCGATCCTCAATGAGCGTATTGTTCATCAGCTTCAAAAGATTCGCATTGGCCGACTCCGTGCCCTTGGCAGTCACCGTTGCCAGCATGCGCAGCGTGTTCAGCACCTGAGAATTGATCGCGGACTGATCCGTGTTAGCCGTAGTTGCACCCGCAGAGCTGCTGATGGCATCGGTGCCAGTTGTGTTGCTGCTAATGCTGGTCGTGGTCAAAAGCATGGTGGTGGCACCGCTGGCGCTAAACGCATCCGGAGTCATGAGATTCAGTTGCGGATAGCCGCTGCCATACTGGGGCGAAGCGGAACGTGATTTATTTGTTCCCGCCGTTGGTGTCTCTTGCAGGATGGCCGAAGGTGCAGCCGCAGCAGCAACTGCAACAGCCACCACCGAGGCGGACGTTGAGCTAACTGAGTTGCGTTTGGACTTGCCGAAGAGCGTATCGAGTGGCACTGCACTGGAGCCGCTGCTGCTATTGTGCGGTGAACTGGGCTCCGCCTTAATCTCATTGACGTGTAGCAGTCGCGATGGCGTCGCACCATCCGGTGTCAGGGAGCGCTTGTTGCTGGCACTACTTTTGTTGCTGCTATTCAAACTTCTCACTGGCTTTTCGGCCACACATGGCTGATAGATAATCTGGCACTCCTGCAAGCTCTTGGCCTGCACCACAAACATGTGCACCACTAGGGCATCGGTTGTGGCAGTGCTATCATCGTCGTAATCATCAGGCTCCTCAAACGGATAGTAGCTCTCGTTGGTACTCTTCATCCGACGCATACTGGCATTCACTATGGAAAAAGATAGTATGCCCGAGCTCAGCTTGAACTCGGCTATGTTTTGAATGCGTACGGCAGCATCGTTATTGCCAGTGCCGCTGCCAGCGTCATCAGCATCGCTGCCATTATCCGAATCCCCACTGTCGCTGGCCTGATCGTTGCCGCTGCTTCTGACGATGCCACAGCTGCTAATCTGCATCACATATACGGCTAAGGCATCCAGGCTGGATATAACTAAATAGTTGGCGCTGCGATCAATGCCAGCTATGAACATGCCCGGATGCACAGTGGGCGGAACTGAGGCCATAATGTTGATGGTCTGCAGACACTCCCACAGCGAGCAGTTCCACAGCTTTATCTCAGTATTATGATCGCTGGTTGTAATCACATACTGCCAGTAGGCACTGTAATTAGGACATTGAGTACAATTCATTAACTCTTTTATTTAAATGAGCACTTACTCTTCCACTGGCTTATTAATGTTATCCAGGAAGAACAACGAGGCCACCGGCTTGCCATCGTGCGGCTTCCACTCGTGTAGGCAACGATGATTGCGCACATCAAACAAATAAATTTGATAGAAACGCACCAAACCATCAGTACAAGCGGCCGCAACGGTGGTGCCATCGGGCGATAGAGCAGCGCAGGTTATTAAGGAATCTTCCTCAATCTTCAAATAGCCAGTCTCCAGAGACGCCGGCTTAATCTGTCCGCGCTGTAAACGCAACAAAAACAAATAAAAAAAAATTATGTGTTTAAATGGTTTGACTTAAGGATTTTGGTTTTCACTTACGCCATGCTCGGATATAATCATCCTGACATGAAAGCATTGAAACTGTTTGCTGCGCGACCAAATCAAAAGCTGGTTTTCATCATCCTCTTCGTGGCCAGTGACAGTACCGACGCCCCCGCCCCCGCCAACGCCACTGGTATTGTTGTTGCTGCTGCTGCCGCTGCTAGTTATGTAAGGACACCAGGAAACCATGTCATACTCTGGCACATAGTTTGCAATGGGATCATCCACTTTGAGCACAAGTTTGCATATTAAATTGCCATCGATTAAATCGATTTTATACACAAACAGCGAGCACATATCTATGACCGCCAGAATGCGCTCCCGTTCGCTGTGGGCAAATTGTAGATCGAGAACCTCACCGTTCATGCCCTTGATGAGGGCGCGCTGGCTGGTGCTGGTGTTGCACACACGGACCATGCCCTCCATGCCGGTGGCTTTGTTGTTGACTATGACAAGGGCATAATTAAAATGGATACAGCAATGTAAAGAATTCAATTTGGTTACCATTTATGGCATATGCCAAATGCTTGCCATCGCGATGCACGGCCACCAAATGACCGGGATAATAGTATTTGTGCTCCCATTTATAATCGACGACATTCTTTAGTTTAACCTTGGAGGAGCCACGCGCATGGGAGCCGCCACAGCCATAAACTTTCGTATGATTCGTTTTGATGTTATAGCAGCATTGCTTGTCATATGGCTTGAAGTTACTGTGGAAGGGATGAGAATGAAATGCTGGATAATGAATAAATGGGAACACTGCAGCACAGTCTGTGCACATACATAATTTCGATTTTTTTCACATCCGTTTGATTGCCGTTGGCAGCAACGATGATGCTGGCTGCTGTTGCCTGCGGATCCTGTTCGTTGCTGCTGCTCATATTGAGGCGGGTTCCAATTAGAATTGTTGTTGCTGTTGTCTGCAAATTACTGTTGCTTGTTAATGCCGTTAAATGAGCGTTGCCTGTTGTTGTTGTTGTTGTTGCTGCTGCTGTTGTTGCTGTTGTTTTGTTCGCGTGCTTTGTTGCGTTGCTTTTGCCTTTGCCACACCTTGATGATGATTGCAATGACAGCGGCGGCTTACGAAAGATTGGCAAATGTGCGAGCGCAAAGAGCGCGATTAACATTGACGCATTTACTTACTAGGAAAAGAGACTATCTATTGTTTACTTTTTGTTCTACAATAACATTTTCAAGATTCACCATTGTACAAACGTAAACTAACCTGCACTCTAGCAGCAATTCCAGTTTCCAGTGCTGTCTAGTTTTGCTGCTTTTAGACGTCGCTACACTTGGCCTTGGAAGTGCAAATGATGTTCACATATATTAAGCACGCACGCAGCAATTGTTTAATGCTGTTAACACCATTTAAACAACAAATTTCAACAAATTTACACGTAAAAATTGTATAGCAAATTTTGCGAAAATTTGCTCCAATGCCGCAAAGCGTTAGTGATGTGTAGCGGCGTATGCAGCACAATCGATTACAGCGTGCGTCTACTATCGCAAAGATTTCGTGCTCGATAGACAGGGTTGCATTTAGTTTGGCGGCAAAAACGGAGCATTTAAAATAGTGTAAGCCTTTAAACAAATATTTCTTTAGAGCATATTATTTATTGCCTTTTTTAGCATTTGTAACATCAACTAATACATTCATTTTTATTTATGTAGATGTATATTCCTCAAAACAATACGCATTTATTACGCTGCAACGTAACAATTTGTTTACATAGTGCTTAATATCACTTTTGTTTTTGTTTGTCTTACTTTTTCAAACACTGCAATCAGTTTGTAGTTGTATATCTTTGAAAATGTTTAACAAGTTGAAGATTTATTTTGTTTGATGACAAGAGAAATAATATACAATCATTATATATTTAATAGTTTAAGTATGCAAAAGAAAATGCGGGGGCATATTCACATGATGATATACTCGTATGCACGTCTGCTGATATATCATCTTATAAATTCGAAGTTAGCATACTTATGGTCCGGTAAATTAAATAATTGTTTTTTTTTTTGTTTCGTGTTTTTCGTTTTTTGTGTTTTTCATTTGTTTTGTAACTTTTTACAAATGCCTAAAGAAATTTGATAAATTTACATAATATCAATTTGTGTATACATAGAAAATAGTTTTGAAAAATTACTAAACCTAAGCTAAGCTTTAAAGGAAATGAAATTGGTTTGCATGTGTTTTATAATATTTTTCTTTTTGTTTTCATAATAAATTTTAACTCTTTTAATACTTAAACATTTAAGCCTGGCTTACGAAAGTTACAACTTTTAGCACAACATTATAATTTTGTTTTTCATTGCCGGAATGAATGAGAAGGTCGAGGACTTGTATTTCCCGGTGGAGCCAGGTTTCGAGTTATTCAAAATTAATAGTTAATAAATAATGATTTATTGCCTTTGGGCATACTAAATGTAATATAGCAAAGATTGAAAAATGGTGTGTGTGTTTTTTTTTTCTATCAGCCAAACAAATGCTTTATGAGTGTTGCACTTTTCAAATACGATTGACGCCACTTTGTGGATGCATGTCATCTAGGGAGCAGTGTTTTGTTTTTTTTTTCATTTCGTTTGTTTGTTTATAAAGCGAACATTTCTCATTTACATTTACACATTTACGTTTAACAATTAGTTCCATTAGCTCTGTGTGCGCTAAAGAGAAGTATACATAAATTGATCTGCATAAATATGTATATATAGAGGCGGCATTATTGTTATTGTTATTGTTGCTTGCATGACAAATTTACTTTTCATTCATTTTTAAAATTGAGATTTAACTAGCCTACAATTAAATTAGCGAAACATAATAATAAGCAGCGTGCTGAAAAAAATTCGTCTGCTCTTCTAAATAGATGTGTGTTATATGCGCTGCATGCAACAAACAGAAACAACAAAAACGCTGCTTAAACATTTGTATAGGCACCGGCTGAGCCGGAGGAGCCGCCAGTCACATTGGCCGTCATCGGCGCTGATATTGAGGAGCCAGTGCGTGCGGGTGCTGCACCGCTGGAATCACCGCCAGCTGCACCGGCTGCCGCAAAACTTTCCAGCTTGAGACGCATCTCCTCCTTGCGCGTCTGCACGCTCAGCAGCTCGTCGCTGAGATCGTTGCACAGATGCAGCAGCGAATTGTTTTGCTCACGCAGCCGCTGCAGCAGCTCCGTGGTGCTAGTTTGATTCTGCTTAAAGGAGACATGACGCAACGAATCGCTGATGGCGGTCACACGCTTCTCAAAGTTATCGGCGCTGGGCAGCTGAGCGGCAGCCGTGCACGAAGACGATCCTGCTGCAGCCAGTGCTGGGGCCGGCGTCTGCGGCTTGCGGTAGACCTCAAAAGCAGAGACTCGCTGTTGCGTCTGCAGCGTCATGCGCATGGGCGGCACAAAAGCGGGCGGCGGTGGTGCCGGCGGCAGTGAATGCTGTTGCTGCTCGGCTGTGGCACCAGCAGCAGCGGATGTGGCATTGGCGCTATTGCTGCTGCTGCTGCTGTTGTTGCTGGCGTCCAGCTGCAAATGGAGAAGGCATTAGTTTTGACCATGAACCAAGCGTAAGCGCAAGTTTTATTCAAAAGCTACTCAATTTTGGATGCATAACACTAGTAAAGCTACGGCCAATTGTGGATGCATTTGTTGAATCAAGATTTTATTCTTATTACACTTACAACATTCGCGTCGTCGGCAAAGTGAGTGAAATCGGCAAAACCCGCTGAGGTTTGCATATCGAAGCTGGCTTGCGCGGTTATCTTAATTAAAGTTGGGTTTATATTACAGTTTGTTTACAAAATAAGTAAAAGAAAATAATAATAAAGGGGACACATAAGGTAAAAACTTTGCACAAAGAAATATGAATATAATATAAATAAATATTCGGTAAACCGAAATCTGTTTATACTATGGCAGAATAAAATGATAAATAATACAGTGTTTACTCGCTAAACGAAACGCCTCGACTCCAAATATTATATTTCAAAATACATTAATCATAAAATATAAAATCTTTATTTGAATGCTATATTTTTTTTTCTAAACTTGGTAGCTACAAGATTAGAGAATGTTATATTGAAAAATGTTTTTGAAAATATTGCTGTTACTATTTTCTATACACTAACTTTTTCTAGAAGCTCAAATTTTTGAGTGACCACTGTATCCAGAGCTTCTGTTCAGAGAAAACGCTGCTCTGAAATAACTTGTTTTATAATTATCTTTCAATTATCGCTTAGAAGAAAAAAAAAATCAACCTCTGTGCTAAAATACAAATGATTGAAATAGCAGTTGAGCCAGCATTGCCTACGAACTAGGAAGCTGTGAAATGACCCTAAAGGAACAGCATATTGATCCTTTGCTAACATTGTATGATATTGACATCATGCAACAGCTGTTGAATAGCTGTTAGGAAGGGAATTCTGTGAAATTAGCTTGCCTGCTATTTTAGTAAAATTTGTTTGAACATTAACATAGCTGATATTCTTAACATTTCCAGGTGATGTTAAATATCTGTTAGTAAATGAAACACAGCTACGAACACAACATTTAAACAGTTTCCTTAAAAAATTTGCATAGTCATATATACTAGACATAATTTGGAGCTGGACAACAGACAAACAACATATATAGCTAGATTGGATGCACTTATACTGGACTTACCTCGGGCTGTTGGCCACCGGCTGTGCCAATTTTAAACTTGTTCAAATCTAAGCTACTGCTGCGCGCATGTCGATGGGGTCGTGGCGGCGGCAAAGGCGGTGGCTCCTTTTTGGCAGAAGCTGTGCTTGATGCATAACTTAGTGGTAATGGCGCCGCCTGCTCCGGCGGCTCATTGACACCAATGGAGCCAATGCTTGGCTCACGCTGCGGCGGCGGCGGCAAGGCACCAATATTCTTCGCTGGCAGCTTTTTGGCCTGGGGACGTTGTATGGCGCGTAGATCACTGCTTTGCATCGAGATGGAGTCGCGATCGCGATGCGTTCCAGTTTGATTGTTTTGTGCTGTAGTCGTTGTTGTTGTTGTTGTTGTTGTCGTTGCCATGGCCTTGGGACTCTCCTCGCGCAGCACAACAACTCCGTCCATATCGTTTGTAGACTGCTGACTTGATTGATCAGCGGCTGCGGCGATGGCTGTGCCTACGAATAAATAAAGAATGTAAATACGCTGACGAAGGGTAAAAGGGTATATGCTTACCTATGGGCGTCACACGCAGCGGCACGGGATGCAATATTTGCGGATTTGAGACCACATCCTGGGCAGTGCGTTTCATATCGAACAGCGCTGGTTTGAGGCCGGGACTAGAAACGGCAGGAACAGCAGCTGCCGCTGTGCCGGCTGCACCAACTGCCGCAGCTCCAGTTGCTGTCGATGTCGTTGTGGGAGATTCGCTAAATTTGGTCCATTGACTGGCATCGTTAGTTGTTCCAGCAGCAGCATTAGCTACCGCTGTTGTTGTTGCAGTCGCTCCTGTTGGTTTTTCCACATTTGGCGAATTGGAAATGCTGCGATTCTTAAGCACGGGCGATGTCGTTGTTGTGGTCACTTCACGTCGAGAGCTACTGTTGCTGGCTTGCGACGAGGTCGAGATGCTGCTCAGATTCATAATGTTCTTGTCATTGGGCAAGGGACGTGGCTTCGCTTGCGAGCTACTTATGATTGTATTGTCAGTGTGTTCATCTTCGTCGTCATCATTCAAATGCAGGAGATCAGCCTCAGGCGGCTCTTGAGGTATGTGCGCCGTTGATGATGACGACAACGATGTCGTTGACTTAGCCAGCACATTGGGATGCAGACAATGAGGAAGGCTGCTAGGCAATGGTATATTATTGCGACGCAACACAACCAGATGCATGGCAGCTGTGAATTCGGATAGACTAAGCGCACCGTCGCGTGTCACGTCGCACAGCTGCCAGATATGGCGTAGCTCCTCGACAGGAATGCGGCTTTTCTCAAAGAAGATCCTGCAAATGAATGCATGGTATGAAAAGGCATTTTACTAGACACACAGTTACAACTTACCGCGCAGCCTGACCGGAGAGCAGTCCGTGCGGATCACGCTGCACAGCTCTGAACTGCTTGTTGTAATATTCGCGTTGCTCGGGCGTGATTTGATACAGCGTAATCAGTTCGCTTTCGTTGTCATCATCGTCGCTGCTGTGACGATCCGAGGACTCCTCCTCGGTGCCCAACAGCTGGCGATGCTCGTCACCGAGTAAGCCCTGCCACAACGTATCCTGAGCCCAGGGACGCTCTGCCACGCTGTTGGTGGGCGTGGGGCTATCACTGTTAGTGCTCCACGCCTCCGGTGAGCCACCAGGGCCTACGCCACGTCGACGCTACGATTAAATAAATAACACTTTCATATATCTAAGTCTATTTACATAAGTGTGATAAGATATATACGCACTGTTTCGCGGCTGCTGTTGCTGACGACAACATCAGCGCCCGCCAGCTCATCAAAATCGCCGCCACCGCTGGATTCGTTTTGCTCGACTTCGGAATCGGTGCTAGGCACATCCGAGGTGTCCTGTAACTGTTCCAGCTGCTGTTGTTGTTGTTGCTGCTGCTGCTGAGAATTGCGGCGCAGCGAGTTACGACGATCGGTGGGTGGTGGCGGCGGCAGCGCACCCAGGCCATTTTCACAGGTACTCGCTGGCGCTGTAGCAGCGTCTTTCCAGCCAAAATGCGGCAATGGCAATGGCACCGTGGCGGCAATCAGCTCCTGACGCAATGGCACCGCTGCCTGGTGGGCGGCAATTAGCTTGAGGCACGAATAAAACTGAGCGCGTGAGATGTGCAAAGCGGTTGCGGGTATTCCAGCCAATGATGTGATCTGTCAAACAATAATTAAAAATTAATTAAGAATGCACGATGCTGTCAATTGAGGCATTTGTGGACCTACCTCAATTACCGTCTCGTTGGCAATGTCCGCTGAGCGAAAGAGTTCGGTTGCTTTCAGCATGGGCACCTTGCCGGTGTTCTCCACGTCGCAGCATTGAAACAGTTCACCATAGAAACGTGTCTCGGGCTCCGTAAGCGTTACCTCTTCCATAGCCGTCAACTTGTTGCTGCCTCCACACCCAGCGGTCGTCGAATTACTTTTGGTATAAGCTAGCCACGCCCGTTGACTGACTGCCAGCCAGGCTGCGTTCGCGATTGCGACAAATCTGTTTGTTTATTTCCACGCTTAACTAAACAAACTGCTAGCTCAGCTGTGCCCCCCGCCTGCCACACGCGCTTCGGCTCGTTTATCGTCGCGTCAACGTTGCTGCCGCAGCGTAGGTGGAAAACGGCCCAAATGAGACACAAATACAGCAGCAGGTTTGACAACGTTTTGCAAGCTTTAGACAGCCACCACAGCCAGCAAATTGAGTGCACACATTAATGCATAACGCGGCACAGGCAGCGCAGTTATTAAATTTCCAATTGGACTTACTTCAACTGCACAATTTATCAATCAATAGGAATTTTTACACGAATTTTTCGCAAACTGTTGTGCACTGTGGTGGCATTATCATCGATAGAATCTAGAGATAGCGATGGCCGATAAGTGTGTACCCGTGATTAATCAACGGTAACGATTAATTTGGGTTTACACGAATAAAAAGTGTTAAACAACCTGTGCTGATTTGGTAACTTCTTTGTGGTAATTTTTTCGGCGTTCAATAAACTTCTAAGTTAAGCAGTTCTAAGAAGATATGTATGTAATTTAAAAGTTCTAGAGAAAATATGTTTCGCTTTCGAAAAGCACAGCACTGAACTGGTTTACAGGCGACCTAGCAAAACGATTGATTTGTAAATTTGATATCGATTAAATAAAACCGTTAAGCATATGGACCGATAAGTATATTTAAAACCGAAACTCCTATCGTTCATCCCTACTTTCGATAACAGCGAATTTTGTTATTGTCCGTCTAGGCGATTGCAACGCAATTTAGGGTTTTAAATTTTAACTAAAGAATTTCAGTACCTAAATACAGTCATAGCATAACTAAATTGCCTTGAATTAGTCAAGAATGTTTTCACGCAAAAGGCCAGAGCCTCCAAAGCGCCGACAGCACGATTTATCCCAGGTAAGGAAATAAAAACAAGCAAATATAATTGTCTATTTACAATTATGAGTCATGCCTTCCCTTTCCTCTTGCCTCTCGCGAACGGACACGAATACGCACACAGTTCGGTTTAACGGAAATACCGGATGACTTTGATCCCAGCGCTGGCTTTGGCGATGATGATGCAGCGGATAGCGATTTGGAGGCTGAGCTGGCGGCAATTAGCGGCGGCGGCGGGCCAAAGCCCAAAGCAAAGCCAAAGCCAAAATTGTTGCCCAGCAGCGATTTAGACAAAATGATAGCAGATAGCTTGCGCGATGTCAGCGACGATGATGACGACGACGCTCTTGAGAATGACAGTGATTTGCTGGGCGAGCTGAATGGCATCGCCGGCATGGAGGATGGGGAGGAGGAGCAGGCACCGGCGGCCCCCGCCGCTGCTGAAGAACAGGAGCCGATTCAGACATTTCTGCCGACAACAACAGTGGACACATTGGGCATCATAAACCAGCGATTGGACTTGTACAAACAGGCTGAGGCCAATGCAAAAGCCGCTGGCGAATCAGGAAAGGCACGACGTTTTGCGCGTGGCTTAAAGACACTTCAAGATCTACAGAAGCAGTCAGCAGCCGGCAGGAGCATCAATGTTGATGACATTCCGCCAGAGGTGAGCATCAAGCCGGTTGGTGGCGAAGCAGCAGGAGGATCTGAAGCACCTACAGAAGAGCCCAGGCAGCCCATGCGTGCCGCGCCAGCGCCCCCCACGCCGGGCACACCGCCAGCATCTGAAGCAGCTGCCTCGCCCAGCACACCGCCAGCAACAGCTACGCCCACGCCTGCTAGTCCCTTGGTGTCGCAAATGCGGAGTCGTCAAAATGAATACAAAGCCGCAGCAGTGCAAGCCAAACGCAGCGGGGATACAGCCGCTGCTCTGCAATTTCTACGCGTGGTGAAGCAGTTCGATGTCGTGGTAAAGATGTGCGAGGATGGCCAAGAGGTTGATCTGAGTGATATGCCGCCGCCGCCGGGCGAATTTCTGGCATTCATGGCCAAGATGCAGGAGGGCGCAGCAGCTGCTGAACCAGCTCCAGCCCCAGCTCCAACTGCGCCAGCACCAGCGCCACCAGCTGCAGTTGATAGTACAGCCGCTCCCACTTCAATGTTAGAAGCGCTTCAGCAGCGTCTGGACAAATACAAATCGGTGGAGGAGGCTGCGAAGGCAGAGAGCAATACCAGCAAGGCGCGTCGTTTTGGGCGCATTGTCAAACAGTATGAAGATGCCATCAAACAATACAAGGCAGGCAGACCCGTGGCCTATGATGAGCTGCCCGTGCCACCGGGCTTTGGTCCACTGCCCACGGCGGATGCTGCGCCCGCTGCACCTGCACCCACGCCGCCCATGTCGCCCACATCACCGCCTGCTACAGCGAGTACTTCCGCTGGTGGCACGCCCACCAGCTCTGGCACCGTGACGCCGACGGCAGCACGTAAAGCGCCTTCGCCGCCTCAGCCCAAGGAGTTAACGACACGCACGACGGGCAATCATCAGAAAAGTAATCTGGCGGAACAACAAATGAAATTGCTGCTCGAGCGGCAAAAGGAGTTTAAAGTGGCCGCCATAGCAGCCAAAAAAGCGGGCGAAATCGATCAGGCCAAGGAATACCTAAAGATCTACAAGGGCTTCGACTCGCTGCTCAATGCTGCAAGCAGCGGACTGCCCGTGGATCTCAGCACGGTAAGCTTAACTGGATTTGGTTATAGTCAATGTAGTTAATAATATGTGTACTCCGACGACAGCTGCCTGTGCCGCCATCGCAACGTGACAATCTGGAGGCATCATTTGCCATTGTGTCTACCGAGGATTGTGATCCGAGCGATGACATTTGCGAGATTGGCGTGCGCATGGAGGAACAGCTGGCCAAACAGCTAATGATGTGCAAAAATACGCGTGATCATCACAAGGCCATGGGCGATGTGGCCGGCATGAATCGATTCGAGAATCTCGCACTGACCGTACAAAAGGATTTGGATCTGGTGCGTTACTCCAAACGTAAGAACCAAACACTGCCCAAATTCCATTACGAGAAGCGTTCCTTTAACATTGTCCATTGCAACACGGATCTGACGGACAATGAGCTGGAAATTGTGGTCGTGCGCGGCATTAACTACAATGTGTCCAATCCCAAGGATGTGGACACTTATGTGCGCGTCGAGTTTCCGCTGTTGAATGTAAGTTTTCAGCATTCGATTTGTCAGTTACATTTTCTTAATTTCTCCAATGCTGCAGGATGAGTCATTCAAGACGAAAACCAATGTGATCAAGGACACGGACAGTCCTGACTACGATGAACGCTTCAAGGTGGACATTCAGCGCAGCAACCGCCAGTTTCAACGAATCTTTAGACGTCACGGAGTTAAATTCGAGATCTATTCCAGAGGGTGAGTCCAACGCCTTAAAACATAATCCGAACGCTTTATTGAGCACTGCAACTATTAATTCTTACTAATGCCTACCGCATATTCATATCAATTAACCAAGGTGAAGCGGAAGAAACCAAATAGAAGTCATTGTAGTCCGTCAAGTATACGTGCATGCGAGGTTGTCTAATAATAATCTCGGCTTAAAGCTAATTGATTCTTCCTTTAAAAGTTATTAGATAAATCCAGCTGTTTAGACCCCAAGAAAATAACTTTTATAAATAACTTATTAGACCTAACTTCAAATTTAGTATGTAGATTATGATTAAAGACGAATCTGGAATACCGGATGGAGTATCAAAACGTTTATATTTCGTTTAGTAAAATATATGTAGGTACCATAGGTATTTTAAGATTAGAGGGGTTCATCAGAATGTGAACATTGTAAATGAAATGAGGACTCAGAAATAAGAATTCGCATTCCATTTAAATTTCATATATTCGAAATCTATCTTTTGTCTATTCTGTTTTTTTAAGGGTTTTTATACCTTGAAATTGGCCTATAGAAATTAAAGCATATTATTAATATTTTTATAAATATTGGGGTAATTAAAAATTAATGTCCTCTTTTGAAATCGAATAATTAACAACCGACCATTGTATTTTTTTTTGTAGTATTTGTTGTACTTTTTTGGTTGTGGTATTATCTATGTATTTGTCAATCTGCTAGCCATACAAACAAATGTTAAGGCCGTTTACAGTAACTGTTATTAACATAACCAGTGCATTTGCTTAATAACAGCGCGCCACAGGTGTTTAAATGGTTTTGGAAACGCCCTAAACATCTGCTCATATGTATTTTCAGTAGAAATTTTGGTTCTTTATATTATATTTTCCCCCTTAAATACCCTATTTAAATCAGGTAATTTTTTGTTGTTCAGCTTTGCCTAGATTTGAGTTTAGCACGCCCGTTGCTTTTCACATTTCATTGTTGCAAACATTGAATGCATAATTCGAAAGTTTTTAATCAATATGTTTTACAAATTCTTGCGTCTCAAATCCCAACACAAACTCATTGCTACGCAAAACGCTATAAATAAAAATTAAAATAAATAAAACACAAAAAAAAAAAACAGCTGCAGTATTGATTGTTGTGGACTAAGTCGTAAACTGCCCATATGTTGTTTCAGAGGATTCCTTCGATCCGATACGCTTATTGGCACCGTCAATGTGAAACTGCAGCAGCTGGAAACCAAGTGTGATATACACGATACCTACAATGTGAGTACCAAATAAAGCCATGTAAATTATCAAATATATTTAAATCCTTTCTCATTTGCAGCTAATGGATGGTCGCAAGCAGGTGGGCGGCAAGCTGGAGATCAAGGTGCGTGTACGCAATCCAATATTGACCAAGCAAATGGAGCACATCGATGAAAAGTGGCTTGTGCTGGATGCCGAGGGCTGAACACAGTGTTGCCTGCACTCTCTTTTCACTTAATTTTTTTTTTGTACTTTATCGCAAAACAAAATTTGATGTGTTTATTGCTTAAGACATTGCGCTGAACGCTTTGGCCTCCCTGGGTTGGCACTTATGTATTACATAAACATACACACACACACACGCACACACACTTACTCACATACACACACACGCGTTATGTACTATATATATATATATATATATATATATATATATTTGTATAAATATTTATGCATATGAGATAACTATATATGGAACAAGACGCAGCGCTGCTCTGAAGTTTTGTGCCCCATTATTTAAACAGTTCCATGCCAAAAGTTTGATAGAGTTGAAGAGTGGGAGATTTGGAGAGAGAGCAGCGCACGCCTTGCGGCCAAGCAAAGCCTGATTATGTTTCATCTAATATGCTCGATATGTTAATAAACCCATACAATTTATATAAATATGTTTGATAAAGTTGTTGTGCTAAATTATAACTCCAGATATTCGACTATTTGTGAGAAGGCGCTGCTCTCATTAAACACATCCACGCCGCGCACCTTATAGAAACCTGAAAATATAAACACGAGAATGTCAATTTTAGCTGAAAATAAACCCTAGCATATTTGGCTTACCATTTACGCTGCCATTCGGGCCCGGCGCATATTGAAACGATGGATAGGGCAGATGCCAGTCCATGGAGATGTGCAACCATTCGGAGCCGGCACGCTCCCTGAACCAAACCTCATAGCTCTTCAGGCACTGGGTGGAGCGTGATTGTTCGCTCCATCGGATGAATACCTCGCGCTGTGTTACCTCCACAATTTCCAGCTGCTGCGGCCGCTTCAGCTTGGGCCATGCCGCCGAACAGACGCGCAACAGCATCACCCACGGCAGCGGCAGGCTGGCCGAGTTGACAACCAGCTCGCTGTTGTACTGCCAAATGGGGCCAGTCTCGTATAGTCTGGGTGTCTGCGCCCGTCGCATGGCTTCGCGCAGCGTGGCATTCGGATAGGCGGGACTGCCGGCCTGCTGCCACACGTGCGCAGGATCTGTGCTGTGCGGCACCAGCAGCTCCGTGATGAAGGCCGACTCATTCGCAATGGACATATTCAGCGTGTATTTGTGATGATAGGCCGTCAGTTGGGGTCCCGCCTGTTCGGGACTCAGGAATATGGTGGCCATATACTGTGCCACCCCATTGCCGGAGATGCTGCGCAATACCTGCACACTGTGCTTGCTGTCCATGTTCACCAGCTCCAGGTCTGCGGCTCGAGTGCCCAGCTTGGCCAACATGCCCAGCGCCGCGTAGACGGGCTTTTGCACGAACTGCGAATGCGTCGGCTGCGTCTCATTCATGCGAAAATGCGCCAACAAAGTGCTGAAAGATTTCAGGTTCGGGATTAGGTGCTTTAATTGTATGTAATATCAAGAATTCTTAAAGCCCCCAAGTTGGATTCCAAAGATATCTTTTTTTATGGAATTTATGTCCGTGTTCTCGGATCCCAATGGTGGGCTACTTACCGCTGGCTAAACTCATATGGATGATAGCTGAGAAAGGCATTGTCATGGCTGATGGACTCCAGTTGGGCCATGACGCCGCCGGCAAGCTTGGCCTGCCAGTGCTGCATCACAGTGGATATCAGGATGGCCGCATAGCGCACATCCGCCTGAAAGTCGCGCGGTGTGCTCCAGCCCGCAACGGGATCAGCCTCACTGCAACCAGAGGAAGAGCGAACATCTTTAGTTAAATAATATTAGCGGATTTAAGCTGGACTTACTCATTGGCCACTGGCAGCTGCTGCAGCTGGGGATAATCGTGGTAAATCTTTGTGAGCAGCGCCAGAGATCCGTTTAGAATTTCTGTGGCGCTGCCATCCAGACCCTTGCGATGGTAGGTGAGTATATCGATGGGACACTTGGCCAGCTGCTGATTGCACAACTCCAGCAGCTGCCAGCAGAAGGGATGATGCTGCTCAGACTTGAACAGGCCGGCGGGCCCACGCAGGGCACGATAAAGCTGCTGCTGGCGCTTGGACTTGCGCCTGCCGCCAGCTTTGCTCAGGCCACGGCGCACAGCCTGCACATACTCCAGATAGGATGCGGTCGTGAAATTAATGCGATTGTAGCTGCGCAAATCCGGCTCGTTCCAGGTCTCATAGCGCCAGTTGGACAAGCGTGCGGCGCCATGGCGAGCTGCGCAGAAGGTGAAGGCTGTCAAACAACCAGGACAACTACTCCGGCAGTCGGGAATGACTTACCCAACTGATGATTGATGATGCTCTTGACAAAGTGCTCCCAGAGAAACCAATTGCGTTCGGGATTGGCGGTGAACACATGACCCGGATTGGCCATAAATTCCAGCACCGGCGACAGGTGCTGCTCCTGCAGCATATCCACAAATCTGTCAAACTTCTCGTAGTCATATTGGGGCACACCCTCCGTGCTGTACTCCAGAAACTGCACCAGCTCCAGCAGCCAATGGATGCGTATGTGTGTCACCGCGCCCGCGGGCAATGCGCCAATCTGGCGCAGCTGCAGCTGCATCTCGGGCGCCTCCAAGGCGCCGCTGATGCCGCCATGATTGATATCCCCAGCTGGACAGAAGCCCACGCCCGTCCAGAAATGCGGCAAGGCATGGTAGACCACATCGCCGCTGGTATAGTGGGCGTGGCCAAGCTGCCGTGTGGCCAATGCCAGCAGCAGCAGCAGCAGCGGGCGAAGCAGCCACATTTTTTTGCAAAATATAAATAAAAATTGTTAGAAAATAAGCTTTTGATTTATTTCGTTTATGGATTATTTGCGTATTGCGCGTTGATTTGCTGATGATGTTGATAAGAGCTGCGCCCCAGTGCACGGTGTGTCTGTATCTGTTGCCGTTGCCGTTGGCCGTTGACCACGGCCTTGTCTCGTGACGTCACACGCAGCAGCAGAGCAGCAGCAGCGGCAACAGCAGAGCAGCAGCAGAGCAACAGAGGCAACAGCCAAGCAACAGCGTGCCAGTTTCACACAATCTCCCCCAAAAAAATAAAAAACAACAACAAGAATAACGGCTATTTACGGCACACCGACAATTAAATACCCTTCAAGGCTTACAAATTGGGCAGCAAAACGGGTTTGAACCAAACCGAAATGGCGGCAACATAATTTTGAATCGAGCCGGTTTTAGCCGCAAATTACAGTATATTTTGTATAAGGAAGGGAACTTTTAAACTAACCAGTTCTCCGAACCGAAACCGGAACCAAAACAAAAACCCTTTCTTTTAAGATAAAAAACATTTAAGGCGAACCACCAGCTATATTTGGTAGAGCTTATTTTTGTGTAGAGCTCAAATTTATGTAGCACAATATTTTAATTTAAATTTAAGATTAAATTGTTTTATTAAAATTTGTAAAATTATGGCAAATTAAAGCTTTCCAAAATCTGGGCACAAAGTTGTGTAAACCGTAAATCGAAGCATCAAAACAATTTGTTTTTTTTTTTTTGGTTTACAAAACTGTATAATTACTTTCATACGAAAGCTCAGCTTCCGACAAATTGATCGTGTATGAAATAATATGGTATTCCAGTTAGAAACTCTCGTAGCTTAGCAGCGAAGTTTCGCCAAGATCTTTATATTTATTATGGTGTACGGAAAAGTTTCTATACAAAAACTCAATTTTCTTCAAAACTCGCGAGTGGCCTGATATTAATAAGATTTGGTTCATATGAGAGGAGCATGGTCAAACTCGTGAAAAGTTTTCTTTGATGTACACGAATCATATCGCGATCCGATCCGACGTCTCGTATTACGTGACAAAATGATAGTACCCCTGGAAGGGTATACAATATAAAAGTGCCGGCGCGCCGCATTGATTGAGAATTGCAATCCCTCATTAGGGGTGGAAAAATGGCAAAATGGGCACGAGGCCGGGCGAGAGGCGAGAGGCATCTACATCGCATCTCAGCTCTCAAATGAGGGAGCGAAAGGTGTGACAAATATTATATTCGATGCTTGCGGGTGATAATACAGCAGCAATTACACGGCCATATTCGAGGGGTAGTTATTAGATACGGATAAATATATATTTAACGATTATCCGACTTTGCTCGCATTTCATATTTTAATCGTTTTATTATCTAAGCTATAAAATTGATTAGTTTTTAATTAACTCAAGGTACTTTCTAGCCTATCGATTTTGCAGCTTAGTCTAAGCTAAGTCGTTGTAAAGCCGCAGATTTATTGCTTAAATTTATCTAAATTGTTTTATTTAAAGAAGAATGTGTTTAAAAAATTTATATAAATTTATTTATTTGAAGTAGAATTTATATATCCTCCACACATATTTTGAAATAAAGGAATAATTGTGGAATTTCATGTTTCTTTCCTATAATTAATTTCTTTGTCTTTGATTTGGGAAAATTGATAATATTTCAATTATAGAATGTTCTAAAATTTGTTTTTTTCAATTTATTGCGGACAAAAGAAAGTGAGTTTTTTATGGTAAAGTCAAGTTTCCGAAACACTTTTCTTTGTCCTTTGGCAAGTTCTGAAAATTTATTTACCTCTGATTTGGCAAGGAGCAATACCTTTTCCAGGCTGTTCGTCCAAAGAACTCTATCGATTTCTAAGGTATATAGAAAGTTGTCGGGGCATTTTGGTTGGAGAATTAATTTGTATAATCGCCGACAATTCGTATTAATGGAATCATTAGCTGGTAATGCGAGCTCCAAAATGTTGCGCACTTTATGAATGGATACAGTCAGAGATGTGCATATATTCAGAGATACCTGGAAGCTCAATTTCAAGTCGGAGCTCAACCTTTTCCCATGTCTATGAAAATCCTGCGTGACTTAGAGGGCGTGGCCAGGCCCACACAGCTGTGTGCTCTGCTGCCCTTTTTCAGCGGCAATCAGTCGGAGAGCTTTGGCGTCAGTTCCCGGGGCAAGCTATACGGACGAATTGTGGCCCTGCTGCTGCTGGTGTCGTCGGTGATGTTCTGTGAGGATGTGCTGTTCGCCTCGCAGGACTACAAGCTGATGGCGCATTCGCAGGGCGACACCGAGGACATAAATCGCACCATCGAGACGCTGTTCTGCATTGCCAGCTACACGATAATTGTCATCGCCAGTGTCCTGAATGCATCCAAACATTTTCGCACAATACGCGATCTCTCCCAGCTGGATGGCTATCTGGAGGCGCACGGCTATGCCGCGAGCTACAGCTGCCGATATCTGGGCACCCTGCTGGTGTTTGCCTCGGCGAGCGTCGTCCTGGTTGCCTTCTACTATATACACTTCCTTAGCGAGATCGATGCGCGGCGTCAGTGCATACTCATCCTGATCTACAGCCTACAGATGCTCTACTCCTGCATGTTTGCGCTCTATCTGCGCACCGTGCTCATGGGCCTGGCGCTGCGGATCGAGTTCCTCAATGGACGGCTCGACCAGTTCACGCAGAAGGACAAACAGCTCTACGACAAGGACGACTGGTGTGAGCTGAGCAATCTGATCGAGATACTCTGCAAGTTTAGGTACATTACGGAGAACATGAATTCGGTAACTGGTGTCGGGCTGCTCTTCTTCTTTGGCTTCTCCTTCTACACGGTGACCAACCAGAGCTACTTGGCCTTCGCCACGCTGACCACGCCCGCCCATTTGCGCAAGGAGCACGACACGATTGGCCTCTCCTGCGCCTGGGTGCTGGCCGAGACCGCGACAATGGTCGTCATTTGCAGCTCCTTCGATTGCCTGGCCTCTGAGGTGAGTCCAACTGAATCTATATTCATATGAATATATGTGTGTATACCTTCGAATGAATAGAAAGTGCACTTACATATGCATTACGAGTGTATTCACAAATCTGTTCCTTACACTACTCAAGTGCATTCATTATTATGTTCACTAAATGCATCTTTATTCATATGAATATATGCGTGTATCTTTGAATTAATACTCACGATCGCAAGTGCACTCACATGTGCATTCATGAGTGTACTACTCCATATATATTTGAGTACATTAATTATTATGTTCAAAAAATTTGATTACTTTGACAATCACTAATATTTTCATGGGAGCATTCATGAGTGTATTCAGAATGACCTCAGCAAACTTGAGTATATTCACAAGTTTATTCCTGAGTTTATTTATTAAGAGTATATCAAGAGTATATTCATTTACGAAACAGATTCTAGTTATAAGGCCAGGCCAAAATCATAAATAGGTTAAGCTCCAATAATTAAATTGACTAAGCCTGGGTTCAAGGATGTGGAGAGAGCCAGCTTCTCGAACCAAGCCCAAAGGCAGAGAGTTGCTTGTGTATATTCATCAAGTATTCGTGAGTGTATTCGTTTATGGGACTTAAATAATTTGTTGCATAAATTATAGACTCGCATGAATTAATGAGAGCACTCACAATTATTTACGAGTGCCACAAGCATGAAAAATCATACGCTCCGCAAATTATTGCCCCTGCTTTTTTCCAATGACGGCAAACAAATTAATTTGTTTAATGGACTACGGATTGGCGATAAGGGCCCAAATCAGATAAGCGCGAGTGCGTTTCAATCGGTGTTCCACTTGACCAAGGCACGCACCTAGTTAACCAAATCCTTTTCGACAGTGTCCTGTCGGCAATGAGTCCCAACAGTTGGGTAATTGAAATGGCAGCGCACAAGTCGCGTCTCCAAGTGCAGCCGCAACAGCGAATCCTTTCGCCACATCCGCATGCGCTGGGCAACGATGCATTCGTACGATCGCCAGATGCGCCCGCCGGGAATCCCGTTTTCGAGGATATTGGCACCATATTGTCGGTGCTGAAGGCGAGCGGTCTATTGCCCATTTACGAGCAGGTGTCCAGCTTTGAGGTGGGCCCGCCCACCAGGACCAATGAGTTCTATTCGTTTTTTGTGCGCGGCGTCGTCCATGCACTGACCATATTCAATATCTACAGCCTGATGACGCCCAACGGGGCCAAGCTGTTCATCTCGCTGCGGGAGACGGACAATGTGAATCAGTGGATCGAGTTGCTCCTCTGCATTCTCACCTATACGCTGAGTGAGTCGGGATCCCGCCGAACTGCTCGAGATTATGATTTCATATTACCAATTTCTCAGCTGTTTTTGTTTGTGCCCGCAACACGAAATGCATTATCCAAATCATGAACGAGATCCTCAAGCTGGACCAGGAGGTGCTGCGCCAGTTTGGCGTTGCGCTAAGCAACAACTGCAATTTCTCAATCAAATTTTTGTTGTTGATTGCCGCCTGCCAGGCGTACATTATATTTATACGCATCCATGTGCTGGATGGTGTCATAACGCCCACCACCTACATCCTGATCGGGTTCTATGCGATCCAGAATGGCCTGACGGCCACCTATATAGTGTTTGCCTCGGCCCTGTTGCGCATCGTTTGCATACGCTTTCAGTTTGTCAATCGGCTGCTCAATGGGTATTCGTATTCCCAGCTGCTGGGCAAGAGTCGACGCCAGCTGCAGTCGCACATGGAAAGCTTTCCCGAGGATTCACTATTCATTTATCGGACACACAATCGATTGTTGCGCATCTACAAGAGCATCAACGAATGCTGCAGCCTGATAATTGTCTGCTTTCTGGGCTACTCCTTCTACACGGTGACCACCAATTGGTATAATCTATTTGTCCAGATCACCAACAACAAGGGCGTCATCTCGTCCCACATAATGCAATGGTGCCTCGCCTGGCTGTGCTTGCACACCTCCCTGTTGACCCTCTTGTCGCGTAGTTGTGGTGCCACCACCAACGAGGTGGGTCACCACCTCTTGGCTGTGGAAACTCTACTAATTAGCTTAAACATCTATTTGCAGGCCAATATCACATCACAAATACTGGCGCGAGTCTATGGCAAGAGCAAGGAGTTTCAAAATATTGTAAGCTATATATAAAAATATGCTATATTAAAGAGGAGTATATATCTTCTACTTCGACTGCGCAAATCAGAATATATACATTTCTTTTAAATTTCTAACTACTTCCGACAGATTGACAAATTTCTGACCAAGAGCATTAAACAGGAGGTACAATTCACGGCATATGGTTTCTTTGCCATAGACAACTCGACGCTCTTTAAGGTTATCTAAACACAACTATTATTATCTTAATCAGAAATTGCATTAAGTATTTCTCAGATCTTTTCAGCTGTCACCACGTATTTGGTTATTTTGATACAATTTAAACAGCTCGAGGATTCGAAATTGGAGGAACAATTACAGGATACGAGCTAAATTTAAATTTATATACTGTTTAAATTTATTAGCTATATTTATTACCATTACAAATCTTACGCAAATTGAACTAGCTGCATATATTCATTTATATATATACTCGATAGTTCGACAAATTAAGCGCACAAAACTTTCAAATACATGAACAAAAAAAATGCATTATTTGAACTCTTCGTAAATTTAAAAACAATTAAGAAACCGACGCCAAAAAAATGAACCACTCTAAGTTTTAATACAAATGCAGCATTCAAGTGGCGAGAAAAGATATAATAAGTTACAACTTATAAATTTTAGATTGATATTAATCAAAAGTAGAGGGAATAGTTATTCAAAATATACTCATATTTTTTTTGGGGCTATATATGTACGCTTTGAATGCTGCTGTGACTTAGTCGTGTGGTTAAACTCCTAGTTTATGTACCAGTATTAACAGTTCAGGACTTTGGACTTGCGACGCGTTTCCCCAAACAGGAATGAACAGATGCGATCCAGTGCAAAGGCGCCAACAATATCCACTATGAGCACAAGCAGCAATGTTTGACGGAACTGCAAAAACAGGTTACGAATCAAATAATGAAATACATAAATTGTAATAAACAAAATTACGCACATTTGCTGGAAAGTCGACGATTTCAAAGAATTGCGTCAGGCCCGGCACAACGCCTGTGGTGAGGAACAGCACCAAGGCAGCCGAGGCGCCAATGGCGCACATTAGCATACGATTGGCGCGCAGGCTTTCCATAAACGGATGCCCCTGAATTACAAACGTTTAATTAGTATATAGTAACTATTTAGCATTTTAGTTAAAAAACCTTATAGTTTACTGCAATGGTGGCCACCTGCAGCGAGACGCAAATGATATAGACCGTGCTGCTGACAATATTTGGATCATATTTAGTTTTTTCCTCATTATCCATGTCAATATACAACTTCACTTTGCCCACTCTGAAAAAGAAACAAAACGACCATTAGGCTTAGAATAAGAGAATAAATAAGCAGCCCGATGCATAGACAGAATTAGGCATAATTTTCTCAAGATATTCACAGGCTCGTTAGCATAGAATCAGAAAGACGGGCATGACATGCTCAATTTGGCTTCTGATACTGATCAAGCATATATATATACTTTATATACAAACTTTGCAATTCTTTTTTTTTCTATCACGGATGTGCCTTATTTACCTGGGTGGCGCCAGCGCCGTTGCCTCGCTGGTCAGATAATAGAGTGTGCCAAAGTGTACAGCGAATTGTGTGAGAATTGTCGATATGGTATACAAATTGAATATGTTGGGCAGTGGAGCCACCTTTGATAGAGTTTTCAGTGGCTGCAAATAGATAATCACAATATAATTAAACTTAACCAAGTAGATTATGGCAAAAGTGCGCCCAGCTCACCTTGGAGCGTGTGATGAACAGGAAACAAGCCGCTATGAAAATGCCCTGCATGGTGGCCTGTGTATCGCTGAACTTGACGCCATCAATATATAGCACCGACTGGCAGTAGGCCTGGATAAGTGCGTTTAATGCCAGAATCTTGAACATTTGCAGCGTGGTGACTAGCGTGCAGCGTCCCTGCTTGATGATGTGGTTAACTGTAAAGACGTTTGAGTAAGCATTAGCTCTTCTTTGAAGTAATACAAAACTACAAATACGTACCACACATAATCGACGATAATTTGCTGGTAAATGGCGCCGCAATGGATGCATCGCCCAGCTTAACCATTGTTTGATCCTCCATGTCGCGCAGAGCGCTCTGTAGACGCGCCTGCGTCCGATCGATATGCTCTTGGCGTCGCCGCAAAGCGCGCTCACGCGGCGACAGCTGCTGATTGGCAGCGGCTGCCGCAGCAGCTGCTGTTGCAGCTGCATTAATTTGCCGCAGCTCGTCCTCGGTGCGATTCCGTTTGACCGGTGCGCTGGTCAGCAAGGAGACGCCGACATGGGCGTGCTTGAGGGCGCCCACATCGTTGGTGCCGTCGCCGCACATCAGCGTGTAGTAGCCGAGTTGCTTGAGCGTCGTTATGATATACTCCTTCTGTTTGGGCGCAAAGCGGGCACAGACTGTCACCTGGGGCAGCACCTTGAGCATGTACTGATGGTGCGCTTGTTGCATATACTGCAATCCCTCGCCGGTTATGCACAAATCATTGGCGGACAGCAGCATTGAAATGTTCTTGCCGCTCTTGGCATCATCCAGGGGATAGGTGCGATCGCCATCAATGGATACCCAGCTCCATTCGCCGTCGCGTTCGTTTTGTGGTGGCGTTAGTATAACTAGTTTCTTGTTCGTAAAGCGCAACTCCCGGGCCACATGACAAGCGGTCAGCGGACTGTCGCCCGTAATCATAAGCACTTTATGTGAAGATTGGACAAGCTCTTTAATGACAGCCTTCGAGTCCGGTTTCATGGGGCACGAGATAATCACAAAACCGGCAAAAGTCAATTCACATTCCACATGCTCACGTTTCAGCTCACGTATGGACTGTCCACTCAGGATATCAAATTCCTTGATGCCCAGTGCCATGACGCGTGCACCGCGACGTGCGTATTCCAAATAAATCTACAAATACAAGACAAAGCTTTAAATAAAAGAACGAATTTTTCTGCAGCTATACCCCCCTTACCTTCTCGTAATTGCCGGGAACTTCCTTAAGCATGCCCATTATAACCTCCGGAGCGCCCTTAACAGCGCCAATGTATTTGATTTCGTTGGAGAAGGGCACCAGATAGCCAGCCAGGACAGACATGCGTTTTAGGGCCGATGAGAAATGATAGCGTTGAACGATTCGTAGAGGCTTGAGCTTGCCACGCTTGGGTATCACACTGTCCGATTTTGTGAGGTTCCAGTCAACGGCAGCGAGTGCAGCCTTTTCCAGCGGATCACCCACCAGGCCGTCATCGAGTACCGCCAGCGAGTGACAACAGGCGAGAACCTGTATTGTGTTGTCCTCGGCTGCATCAATGGGCACACATTTGCCATTGGGCGACAGGCCCGCAATGCCCTCCACCATGAGATTATCCGTGGTTAAGGTGCCCGTCTTATCAAAGCAACAAATCTGCACTTTGCCCGCAAACGGAATGCGAAATGGTTCCGTGCAAAATACATACAATTTGGTTAACTGAATAAGCGACGTATTCACGGCCAGCGTCAGCTCAATGGGCAGATCCGGCGGTATGATCGAGGTCAATATGAGCGCACACTCCAGAAACAGTTTATAGCGATTGCGTTCCGGATCCTCGCTTCCCTTGACCCACACATAAGAAGCGGCCGCAACCGCAAACACCATAAGGAAGGCAATAAATGCAAAAGTCTCGGCATTGTTCTCCGTAGCACGATTCGCGCCAAAGAGTATGGTGCGCAGCAGTTTACCCTGGGAGGTGTTGAAGCCAGTGCGTATGACATAGCCAATGCAGCCGCCGTCTGGGGCACGCATCGATTCCTTGCTGGGCGCCGTATGCTGTACCACCTTGGTGCCGCCAAATAGCACTGTCAGCTTGCCCTCGCCCTCAGCATCCAGTTCGGTGTTGAGCTGTTGTAGCGATTCGAGAGATTCCTTCATTTGTGGCACCGACTCACCCGTCAACATACTCTCGTCAACAATGCAGGTGCCGCGCAATACGACCACATCGCAAGGCACAATATTATCGTTCTGTGAGCGTGTTATGGACACCAGATCACCTGGCAGCAGCTCATCGCTGCCTATTTGACGCCATTTGTTCTGGCGCAGGGCATATATGAAATACGGTTTATTGCCCATTTTACGTATCTCGGACATGTTTCGCAGCTGCTGCTTAACAATTGTGCACTCGAAGGCGATCAACATGAAGAGCGTGAATAGCGAATAATACCAGAAATCGTCCATGCACCACAGACCCACTGAGAATACTTGGAATACAAAAAACGGCGCTGTGGCGCGCTCTATGAACAGCTCATGAAATTCGGGCACAACCATGTCCATTTCATTGTTGCCATAGGTCTGCATGGCCGTCTTAATTGACTGCTCTGTCTCCAAACCACGGGAGCTGGCGTAGGTGCTCAACAGTTTGTTCACAGGAAACTCAACCGCACGGAATATCGCTTTATCTGGATCCCACACGTATTTGGTCTTTTGGAATACTAGATAGTATTGCTGCTGGCCATCCTCCAGCTTAAGGCTGCGTATGGGCACTATCTTGGAGTTGCCATTGTTCGCTGTGGGCACCACTTTGGCCAGAACGCCCGGCGCCGGCTGCTTGACGCGTCGGCACGTGAGAAATGCCAGTACATGTACGCTCCAGTAGCAAAAGAGTAGCGTGAGCACATGCAGAAATGCAATGGCCACCACAGCTATGAAACCGATATCATTCCACGCGGCATTCGCTGCGTTGTCAAGCGGCTGCACGTCATTCGTGTTTGTTGCAGCTGCTGCCGTTTCCTGTGCGGCATCATTGTCGTGGCTTTTGTACACGTAGATCCATAGATAAAATGCGGTCAGATAGAGGGGGACAAAGGGCAGTACCACGCCACTTAGCGGCGTCGGTTTGCGCACGTGTAATGTCACATATTGCACGAGATCGTCCAGCGCGGCTGGCGGCAGTTTAGTGTAATTTTTTGTATTGTTTTTGTTATTGTTGTCGCCGGCAGCGCCGCCCGTTGTGGCCGATACGCTCATCAGTGCCGGTTGCTTGCAGTCTTTTCCTTTCTCGTTGCTTTCTTGTGAGCGTCGTGTTTTCACTCACAACTCTAATTACTTAAAGTACAAAAATTAATTGTGAAAAAACGCAACGTTGTCGCACAGCTGCTTGCGTCGCAGTGTGTGCAATAAAAAAAAAATATATATAGATATTTACTCGTTTGTGAACACTGTCAATATCGGTAAGCTATCGTCTAGGCACGACTTTACCGATACTGAAACATAGCACCGGCAGCCCTGGAAGACAACTCTGCTCTGTGCAGACAATATACAACAACTTCTCTCATAAGTCTGCGGGGCTATTTATTATTGTGCTATTTATTGACACTAATTTAAGTTTTATTCATGTACAATTTTTGTCAAACGAACAAGTAGAATGTAAAAATGCTGAAGTACATCAAAAGGCAGACGAGTAAGTGATAAAAAGCACGCAGTTTTTGATAAGAAAACAACTGACTGTTTGTGTTTATGTTTTGGTGTCAATTTCTATTTTTCGACGCGCACAAAACAGGCCGCCGACGCAGCTCTCACGAAACGGATGCCAACGGCGTTGATGATGTGGTAGATTGTGCGGCAGCGGCGCAAAAACGTCATTCGTTGCGCTCAACAACAAGTTTCTGTGATGAGGTCTTCATGGAGGAGGAGACGGAGGCGGCGGCAGTGGCAACTTCGGATGCAATCAGCTTGGGCAACAACAGTTTGCTAAATGTGGGCGCAGCTGCCGATGAAGGTAATGAGACAAATGTCAGCCACAGTGTATGTACATAAGTATGTGTGTGTGGTGAGTGTGTATTGTTGTTGCCTTTGCTTTTGCTGTGGTCATTTCCGGAACTGCACAATACTCATAAATTGCGCGTTTAATTGACTTATCACGTATTGACGCTCTTTACAGATATATTCAAATACTGCTCGCGTCTCTCCATGACGCTAACTGCAATCGTTAGCGAACCGGATTGTCTGAGCTACTTTCTGCAGTATTTGGAGACACAAAACGCGCTGCCGCTCATCAAATTCTATTTGGACATAGAAAACTTTAAACGCGCGGCATTAACACAGCTGCACCAGGAGCGGCCACAGGATGCAACGGTTGCGGTTACTGCTACAGTGGAGGCACCACAGCTTACGCATGTTGCCGACGCATCCATTGAGGAGGAGGAAAACGATGTACCTGAAATGAAAACATTGTGCGACTTGTCCATGCGTAAGCCGCTCACCGACGACGAGAAGAGTCGCATCTATGCGGAGACAAACAAACAGATCAATCATAAGCCACAAGCTGCGCCGATTGGCCGACCCAAAGCAAGCTCGGAGCTACAGCCGATAAGTGCGGCAAGCATCAACGATGCGATTGCCATTTACCAAAAGTATTTGATTGTTAATGCGCCACTATTGGTGGAGCTGCCCATTGTAATCTTGGCGCACATATCGCTGTTCTTGTGTGGCAAGGAGAGTGACAAGTCGACACAACAGCCCGTACCTGCCGGCTGTTTCGACGAGGCGCGCGACTATGTGCTGCAACAGCTGGAGCGTGATCATTTGCAAGGCTTCCTGCAGAGCAGTTACTATTGCACCTACTGCCTGGAGCTGATCGAGGGCGAAGCGGCTACACTGAACATTTACGACGTGCTGTACGATGAGCTGGCGCTGTTCTATCTGACCGAGTACCTGGAGCAGCAGCAGGAGCGCGAGTGCCTAGAATTCTGGATAACAGCGATTAACTTTCGCAAGAGCTACGATGATCAGCGTGCCGCTCAGTCCGATGCCATGATCATTTACGAGCGCTACTTCTCGCTGCAGTCTGAGTGTCGTTTGTGGATGTCGCAGAAGTTGCGTTTGCGCGTCGAACAGGCCATCTGTGCGCCCGGTCAGCTGGCACAGGCCTTCGATCTGGCGCTGCTGGTCACAGCCAAATACCTGGAACAAAAGCACTTTGCCAACTTTCTCAAATCGAACATATTCGACAACTATGTCAACGAGCTGAAGGCCAAGACGTGCACACATACGCCGGCGGACACCACAGATAGCTCGAGTCTGCAGCACAAGCTGAGTCTGCGGCGCGCACCCAAATTGTCTGCACAGCAGCGACATCGCAAAACGATGTCCATGTCCGACTGCACGCACATCTCGCAGCACAATACACTATTGGCTGGCCTGGATACGGGTCACAAGCCTGTCAAAGCGTCGACAACAACAACGGCCGCCAACATGAACATCGATTCCAGGCAGCTGACAAATCCGCAGCTGCTTTGGCAACGTCCGGTGAGTGCGCTCAAATTTGGGCACGTGAACTCACTGGGCAGATACGAGCGGGACTTTGAGGCCGTAGATGCCGTTTCGAACCACAAAGCGCCAGCCTGGTCGCTGAGCGTTAAGAACGCAATGCGCAAATTGGTAAATCTGCCCGAGGATAATGTGCAGGAGGAGATCGCCTGGCAGGTGGCCGAGATGATTGTTAAGGATGTGACCAGCGTGACGCTGCAGAACAAACATTAATGGAACAAGCTAACAGCTTACGCAATATTTATTTAGTTTATATACACAAACGAAACTAATTTATTTATAATTTGGCGCTCAAATATTTGAGGAATCTCGCATGCAAACAGTGTTGCAAATGCATCTATTTTGAAAGATTGCTAGCCACTTTTTTGAAGCGGCTGTTCGAAACACTGTTCAACAAGTGCACAAGTCGAACGAAAGTTCTCTCTTAAATGCAACAATGTTCTCTCCCTCTCTTAGACGCTTGCTCTCTCATTAACTACTATACTCTTTTTAAAGACTACTGACCAAAAAACAGAAGCTTGATTATTTGTAAAACTTAAGTTATTCATGAACTTTGAAAGCTTTGAAAGCTCTCTAAAACGAAACTTTCTCTTGCTCACTCGCTCATTTGTTATGTAAAGCACACACACATACACAACCGCAAGTTTCCTTGATTTCGTACCTACAAAAAATATTTTACTGACATTACTTGTACTTTCATTCCGCATGGTTTGCTTAATTTTATGTAGTATACAATCTTTATGCATATACATAAATATTTTTGCATACTGAAACACTGTATAACAAAATAATTGTTACAAATAAACTTTTTTCTATGGAAATTTCAATATTTTGTAATGGTTTTATTATAAAGACGAGAACTAAATAACTTTTGCTGAATGGACTTGTAAGATTGAGCTAGGATATTCCAGAAATGAGGTGGAGTGAAAGTCCTTTGAAAACCAAAAAAGGCAATGGAAAGATCATAAAAGTTTATAGGCTTAAAGGATTTGAAAGATTAGAAATCAGCGATTGAAAAAAATGTTATCGAGGATTTATTTGCAGGAAACCGCGCGCATTTCTTAAATTTTCTCAGTACTGATAGCTTATTATCTATCTTAAGAGCTTAATTATGATTTTATAAAAAATATATTAAAGCAGACGACTAATAACCTCTGTTGTTGCAATTCAGAGGTATTTACCACTCTTAAATTCGCTCAGCTCAAGGGTTAGTATTGAAGATCGTCCTCTGGCAGGTTGCCCGTTTCGCTGAACCAGCGCAAGATGCGCAGCATGGTCTTGGCGGAGTACAAACAGAATGGATACTCATTGTAACAGCGATCAGTGCGTCCGCGCAGTGCCAGACCACGACTGAAGGCGCGTCCAATTTTGGCTGGCGCCAGTTCCAGTGAGGATTCCATGAAATTCATCAGCAGCTCGGCCTCTGCCGAATGTGCCTCCGCGCCAGACATTAGCTGACAGATGAGCGACTGCAAGCACTCGAAGGGATCGCGGGCAAGTATGCGCTTCCAGTCAATGGACGCGGCTTGATGCACTGCACCCGCATCCTGCCGGCCATGCACCCAGCTCAATTCACGACTTAATGCGGCACGTTTGCCACGTTGCAAACTCAGCGCCGAGCTGGACTGGCCAATGAAACTGGTCACCCCTTGCAGATTCAGTGCGGAGCTGGCCTGTCCTGCCAGGTTCGTGATGCCCTGTATGGGTCGTATGCGATTCCAGTCCTGTGCCAACAGATGCATCATATACATGGCGCCCAGGCCCATAACGGCCAAAAGTACTACACTAAAAACGAAGAGACAAATTATTATAATATATTTAGCTGGTGAGGATTTCGAAAGGCTGCCCACATACCGGACTCCCATTTGCAGTTGCTCGCTTCGAACGCGTCCGTTTAGCTTCGTGGCCAGCGTCTTAATGCGCAGCCTTGTGGTGCGATTTCATGGTTAAAGCCGCGACTATCTCCAGTTTGGCCAGCCAGACTAGCGAGCCGCCAATTTGTTTTGGCCACATTTAAACCAGCCCACAAGCGCACAGCTTTCCGCAGTTGGAATCATGCAGCCATGACATAATCGCCAGCGACTTCGACATCCAATCCAGATGCAGGCGCCAGTTTGATTTGGCCGCCAAACGGGTTCGTGTAGTTTTTTCTTTTGCCATTTTCTTTATTTTATTTTGGTTTTTTTTTTTGGTGTGCCTGCAACTAGTTTTCCCGCGCCACTTGGCTGGCATTGTTTTTGGCCAAGTTTTGGTTTTTCATTTATCCGTTTGTTGTTGTTTTTCATTTATTTGTTATTATTGTTTGCGCCAGTTTCAATGTTGCGGTCAAATAAATTGAACTTTGTGCAAGACAGTGACCATGGCAGTGGGTCACATAGCCAACGGCTGAGGAAAATACTCGGAAAAAGCCTGCCGCATCAGTTCGGAAAAGCCAAAAAAAAAATTTCCAAAGTTTCCTAGTTTTCTGCACTCGCATGGTACTCGATAAACTTCAAGGCAATCAAGTACTCCATGGCGAATCAAGGAAATCGAAACTGATTGAAAAGCTTAAAGTGAGAGCTAGAAAAACATAAGTATTGATTACTAAAGGCGCCCGAGCAGGGACTTCCAAATAACTGTTGAGTATTGAGTAAAATTAAATGATTTTCGAAAAGAAAATAAATAAATAATCCAGTTGCTCTTAAAATAGATTATAGAAATTACTGAAAAACCAAAAGAATATTAAACAGAAAATTAAGTTTATGACAAAAATAAAATGAAGGAAGATTAAAGGAAAATGAAATGTTTATTTAATTTAATTGATTGATAGGCGCCCGAGCAGGGTTTAAAATATAAGACAAAATCGAAAGATTTTTTAAAATAAAACTACAGTAAGTCGAGTTTATCAACAAGAAATCCCGAATCTCTTTAAATATTACATGAAATAATAAAGTGCTTCTCAAAGAAAAGCAATAGAAGATCAAGTTTGTGTTCCGGAAACACCACATTGTAATACAAATAAAAGAGATCTAAGTATTAAAATAATTCATAAAAAGTATACACAGAAGATATATGTGAACTGCTTATCTAAGAAAATCGTAAAGCCAGTCCAAAACTGGGTCACCTGCAGTCAAAAGCTGTGCAAATTTAAGCTTATGGATTGCATAAAATAAAAAATATCCACTCTTTTATGCATTAGCTTTAAGCTGTGTGCAGAAATCGTAATGATAAACTTTTTAAGCAACTCAAATCCAGTTGAAAAGAAAGCTCTGCCTGGCGCCTATAAAATGACGTTGCGTCCAGGCGGCGGCTTTAGTCGGAAAACTGTTTGGGAAAACTGCAAGAGGCAAAACGCAACGGCAACATTCACTGCAACAACCGCTTCGCTAGCAAATTGTGGATTACGCAACGGCTCAAAGGAAAGTGAAAGCCACAAGTGACCGCAACGGATGTTGCATCACAATTTGCCACTCTGTGCAGCATTCACTGAAATCCAGACGAAATGTTTTACGCCGTGATCTTCTTTGCAACAATTGTGCTGCTCTTCCTCATCAGCGGCACTAGAAAGCCGGACAAGTTTCCGCCTGGTAGGTATGAGCCACAAAAGGCCACAAAGCCCTTTTTGGAGGAGTATATATCTATCTATTACCTTCATAGGCAGTCACAGATTTGTAGTTGTTCTCTTGCAGGAACTATTTGCATACTCTGTTTTCCAAGAGCAACAGGTGCATATTGGTTGGGGGTAAAGTTCACCTTTGTGCCAATAAGTTCTCCAAATTCAATATAGACATCGTTGCTCCACTCTATATTATCCATTGGTCCAACTTGGATTATTCGACTATAGTTGAATTCCTGAAATATATTCAGAAAAATTTATTATTACATTAGAAACAGAACTATCATGCTTCCGACTACAATTTACCTTGAACATCCATTCGTTATAGCTTGTCTTCAAATTAATTCCAAGTGATAAAATCTGTTATTTTTATACTCTTACAGAGAATATTACGATTTCCTTACAATAAATTTCCCTTTTCATTATTGTTACCAATTAGGTCCACGCTGGTATCCGATTGTAGGCAGCGCCCTGCAGATCTCGCAGCTGCGCATGCGGCTGGGCATGTTCTGCAAGGTGATCGATGAGCTGGCCAGGCGTTATGTCAACCCCTATGGTTATTATGGCCTGAAGATTGGCAAGGATAAAGTGGTGATCGCCTATACGAATGAGGCCATCAGCGAGATGATGACCAACGAGGACATTGACGGCCGTCCGGACGGCATCTTCTATCGCCTACGCACTTTCAACTCCCGCCTGGGCGTACTGCTCACCGATGGCGAAATGTGGGTGGAACAGCGTCGTTTCATATTGCGCCACCTGAAGAACTTTGGATTCGCTCGCAGCGGCATGGTGGATATTGTGCACAATGAGGCCAGCTGCCTGCTGCAGGATCTGCGCGCACGGGTCACAGCGTCGGGCGGCAAGCAGGCGCGAATTGAGATGCACGATCTGACCAGTGTCTATGTGCTGAATACGCTATGGTGCATGCTGAGCGGTCGACGCTATGAGCCGGGCTCAGCAGAAATAACCGAGCTGCTGGAGACGTTCTTTGAGCTGTTCAAGAACATCGATATGGTTGGTGCACTCTTCAGTCACTTTCCGCTGCTGCGCTTTATTGCGCCCGATTATTCTGGCTATAATGGCTTCGTGGAAAGCCATCGGGCGCTCTATGCGTTCATGGGCAAGGAAATTGAGTTGCATCGCAGCACTTATCGTAATTATGATGAGCCGCGTGATCTGATGGACAGCTATTTGAGGGCCCAGGAGAACAGCGACAGTCCCATGTTCAGCGATGAGAGCCTGTTGGCCATCTGCCTGGATATGTTTCTCGCCGGCTCCGAGACGACCAACAAAAGTTTGGGATTTTGTTTCATGCATCTTGTTCGACAGCCGGAGATACAGGAGCGCGCCTTTGCCGAAATCAAGGAGGTGGTGGGCCTGGAGCGCATACCCGAGTGGTCCGATCGTGCCAAGCTGCCCTACTGCGAGGCCATCACCATGGAGGCGGTGCGCATGTTTATGCTGCACACCTTTGGCATACCGCATCGCGCCATGTGCGACACGCGCCTGTCTGGCTACGAGATACCCAAGGATACCATGGTAATTGCATGCTTCCGCGGCATGCTCATCAATGCAGTCGACTTTCCGGACCCAGAAACATTCGATCCGACACGCTATCTGATCGATGGCCAAATCAAATTGCCGGAGGCGTTCAATCCGTTTGGCTTCGGGCGGCATCGTTGCATGGGCGACTTGTTGGGGCGCCAGAATCTGTTCATGTTTACCACAACGCTGTTGCAGCACTTCAAGCTGGTGGCCATTCCCGGCCAGATGCCAGAGGATGTGCCGCTGGAGGGTGCTACAGCGGCGGTGAAGCCATACGATGCAATGCTGGTGCCCAGAGTTTCCTGAGGAGTCCAAAACAAATGCACATTTAATCAGAAGAGTCAGAAAAAATCAGAAAAACATGTGGAAAATGCAACATTGCCATCATGACAAAGCCGTTATTTAATTATTAAAAGTTGTTATCGATATAATATCGCAATATATCTTTAGTCAAGTTATCGAAGCAACAGTCGAAAGTAATCGAAGTAATTACTGATAAAGTAAATAATTGCGCTTGGTATGCTGTTTGCGTACGCATACTTGGCTTGATGAGAAAGAAAATGGAAGAGCGCGCATCGAATAATCCCCTAATCCCATTTTTTGTTGAATTATTCAAATCGAATTGAACACAATATTTTCTACATTCTCTAGTTACGTTTTTAATTTCTCATATAACTATAATTATTATTGTTCATTGTTGTTGGGTTTGTTAAATAGTCTACAAAGTTGTCATTTAGTTAATTTGTTTTTGATTCACATTGATTCCTTACTGTTCAATTTCATTTCATGTTGGCCTCTGATATTTCGCACGTTCTTCAGCAAACAACAAAAGCATTTCAATTGTGCATACAAATTACAAAATTAAATTTAAGCACTAAAAGTACGATACAAATACGAATACAAATACAAATATATGAAAAACGATTTATCAGCTAAGCGTACAAATATTGCCACAGATTGAATGTTCAATATGTATTTAGAATGCGCATTCAACAATATTTCTTGTTCTCTATTTTCTTTTTTTCCCTTTTTTTCTTTGTTATTGTTATTTAAAGCTATTTGTTTATATGCATAGGTTTTGTGATTTATGCTTGGAAAACAATTGTTGCTCGAAATCTTTCGATCTGCATTTTTCTCTGGTAAATATATGTACATATATATATATATATATATATATATTTATTTTTCGCTTTGTTTTGCGGTTTTTAAAATTTGAAATTTGTGTATGTGTTGAAATTCTCACTCTTCAGCCTGCTGCTAGACACTGGGCTTACATGATCTAATTATATGTATATATATATATATATATATATATATATATATATAGATGTATATAGTATATATATATATATGTCTATGTTTGGGGTGTGTAAAAACGCTAACCATTGTCACACAAAAAGCAAAGCCAGCGCTGTCGATTCATAACTTATTTGCATATTTTAAGCATTTCTATAAAGTAACATTAACTTTTCATATATCTAAGCCATTAGATGATTTTAATATTGTTGCACACACGCCGACACTTTAACGATCTTGGTCCATGATTCCAACGCGCGAGAGGAAGAGTACGTATTATAAATATATATATGATATATAAAAACTATGGGGTTCGCTTGAGTTTGAATTTCAGGTGAAATAAATAAAGTTAGTTCGAGCCGCAGCGCAGGCAGGTAATACGCTATCGTATTAGCTGCCGGGGCCACTGAGCTTTTGGGGGATATGTTCAGTTCTAGGATTATAGTTAAGTGTTAGGGACTAGGAGACTAGCAAAGCATTCAAAATTTGTGCAACAGCAAACTTGAGACAATTACAATTACAATATTCATAACCACATTCACTATGAACCAAAAAATAAACACATATACAACTAATGAAATTCCCTAAAAATGTTGCAGCAGTTTTAGAAATAGTTGCCATCATCATCATCTCCTATATCTCTAGTGCTTCCGCCAGGCGAACGTCGGCAGCTGCTGGGCACAGCAGCAGGCCACAATGTAGAGTATCCCAAAGAAGAAGTTCAGCTTGGCCGTTTGCCTGGGCACCACATGCATTGTCTGCTCGTTGCGGAATCTCTTCTCGATTTGAAACGCCTGTGGCAGCGTTATTAACGGCAGCAGGAACCACAGCGAGTACTTTAGCCCGAAGATGAAGAACAGTGAGTAGGGTGTAAAGAGCAGCATGGCATATAGCACATGGGAGGCAGTGCGTCCAATGAGTATGGCCAGCGTTACGATGCCCGCCTTGCCGTCGCTTTCTGCATCGCGCGTATTATTGCTGTGCAGTATTGCCTCCGTGTTCAAGGCCAGCGGTATGGCATAGCCCATCGTTGTCCAGTCTACGTGGCCCGTTTGCGACATGAACGCAAATAGCACCGAAATGGGCCCAAACAATATCAAGATGACCAGATCGCCGAGGGCAATGTATTTGAAACCAATACCGCCAGTATATAGAAAGCTCGACGATAGTCCGCCAAAGTAGATCAGCGCCAAATGTTCCATTTTAGCTGGACTCAGCACGGCGAGCAGCACAAAGCCACCGCAGCCGGCCATGTACAGAATAGCGCCCAGCGAAACCACCTAAAAATAAATAAAAACAATTAAAAACAGCTTGCTAAATAAATATATATAAATAAATAAATGGAAACACATTTTGTTTTTGGAACACGCTAATATTTTAAATATTATTTAAACTATGAACCTAGCCAGGCTCTAATGAAATGTATTTTAAAAAAAGCGGGCAACATATTTAAATAAATAATTTGGATTAAAAAATAGTGTTTTTTTATACGTATTCAATTATTTTTCTAAAATAGGTTTAATCCCAAGAAAGCTTGGACTGCAAATTTTGAATTTCTCTAATCATATTTGGTGGTTGCCAATTTTGGAGGGTAATCAAATCTAGCGCGCAAATTCCATATATATAATTCACATAAATAATTAGACAGACAATTTCAGTCGTAAAATATATATTGCTAGCATTTGAAAGAATGTGCTAAAAGATATATTATAAATATCTTAAAATGCAATGACAAATTCAGTGTGAATTTTTTTATGTCAAACTGGAAAAATGGAAAAAAACCAATGCTAGAACAACATCCTGGGTTCTGGAAAGAACTATGCTTTCAAGTTAAAAACAAAACTACCCAAAATGTTTTCTTTTTTTAGTTTAAATTGTGAGCAACTAATTAGCTTAAGTTTTATGAGTGCTTACCTCATCCTTGGTGAGTATGTGATCGACCAGAGTACGATCGTCAGCCTTTTGTTTATCGATGCCTTTGATGAAATCGAAGTACGTGTTGACCACATTGCCGGCACAGTGCACGGTGACCACAGTGAAGGCGGTGAGAAAAAATGTGAGCATGGAAAAGTCGGCCGACCATTGCGAGCGGTAGGCCAGCGCGGAGCCGAGCAGCGTCGGCACGAGGCTGGCTGACAGTGACCAAGGACGCAAGGCCAGCAAATAGGTTTTCAGTTTCATAAACGTGCCGGAGCTGTAATCGTTGGTGTTAATTACTGAAGCTGTTTTGCCGTTTGTCGTCGCAGACGCCAACGTCTCGTGACCGGTGCCGCCATTTACCAAACGCTGCCTCAGCAGCTGGGCTGTTGACGTCATGGCCGTTGCCGTCGCCGTTGTCGCTGCCTGCTCCTGCGCTGAAGCTTCCTGCTGCTCGTATTCGCTTTGACTTGTTGCCATTGCAAGCGCCGTGTTCAACTGGCAGCTGGAATCTTTGCATTCACCAGCTGAGGCCCAAGTTCGTTGGAAAAGTTTACTCTTGTTGACCTCGAATAGTTTCGCTGGCGCTCTTTCTTTTGTTTACAAAAGCATAAATATTCCTGCAGTGTGTTCGCTATACGTGCTAATATTGTATAGACAGCATCATGTGTGTGCTTGTGTAGTTTATATGCTTGAGGCAGGGGGTGGCGCTGGCTGAGGCAGCTCCAACAACAAAATTTCACCAACAGCCTGCGTGCTCCAAATCCCAATTGCTCGTTACACTCTCGCCGCTGTCCTTACTTTGCCTCCAGCTGCGCCGCGCCAAACAAGTTGCATGTATGCAACGCTCACGTTTTCTGATATAAATATATATATATACAAATAAATTTCACTTGTTCTTTTTATTTATTTTGCAAGCAATATCAGATTGCTAGCGAGAGAAGAGAGAGCCTAATCAAACAAACCAACTGTCACGTCAGCGCTGCACAGTTCGGCCACACTGCCCAAATTAGTGCATTTAAAATTAAATATTTTGCAACACTAGCACTGCACAGTATGCAGCTCGTTATTTCTACCCGCATGCCTATTTTGTTTGCATGCCTTGATAGCACTACAGATTATTTTAGGTAATGGAATTTGAAAAATGTAGTTAACAGGATATCGCACTACTTTTATCGCTTAAATATATTTTTTTATGTTAATTGGTAAATCTTATTTTGATTGAGCCATGCGCTATAGGCATATTACTCACAAGCGTTTTGCTTACAGTTTTTCTATCAGCGTACTTTGCGAGCCAGCCCTGAATGTGGACCAACAGCTGTTGCATTGCTCAAAATGTTTACATACAAATAATACAGAAGCGCTAAAAACATGGACTTTAATGTGCACAAGATATGCCGGGTGTGTCTAGAGGAAGGCGCGCCAAGTCCACTTACTTCCATTTATAGCACAGACTTTGCCATGATGCCCTCCCAAATGTTGATGATGTGCTCAAAGATTCGGGTAAGTCTCGACCACTTAACTACTTTCAATTAACTCCCAAATGGCATTTTCAGGTCTATAAGACAGACGGATTACCTGCCGGCATTTGCAACAACTGCCTCTATAGGCTGGGAGTAGCCTATCACTTTCAGCAGGAGTGCGAAAACAGCGATATGCGTTTGCGTCAATATTTGGGCTTGCACGAGTCCTGGCGCCATGACGCCGCCACAAATACCGAGCTTGCGGCCAACGAAATCAAGCCCCTGCCTCCAAATATTCAGCTAAACTCTAGCGATGAAGAGGAGGGCCAAACTGACGTTAAGCGCAGCAAGCGTCGCTCGCGTTACCAGCGTAAGCCGCCCGAAAGTCACAAGAAACGCGGACCCAAGCCAGTGCCCAAGCTGCCGCACACATGCTATGTGGCCACATGTCACAAGAGCTTCAAGTGTGCCGCCCAGCTCACTCAGCATATACGGACGCACACCGGCGAAAAGCCATATGCGTGCAGCTATTGTGCCCAGCGTTTTGCCCAGAAGTACAATCTGAAAGTGCACGAGAGAACGCACACCGGCAATAAGCCATTTCAGTGCGAGATCTGCTCCAAGCAGTTCTCAGCGCTGGGCAACTTTCAGGCGCATCAGAAGATTCATAGCGGCGTACGAGATCAGATCTGTTCACTCTGCCAGAAGGCATTCTACACGGCTGGCGATCTATCCAAGCACATGATCACGCACACGGGCATCAAGAATCACCATTGTGATGTTTGCGGCAAGTCATTTAGCCGACGTCGCGATATGCGCGTACACAAACTAAAGTTGCATCCACTCGAATCTAGTACGGAGCATGAAATTGTCGATGACGACGATGACGAGCCCATTGACACGGATCCGGTGGGTCTCGATACCCTGGAGCATGCGCACTTTAAGTGTCCCGACTGTGATAAGGCCTACGATACAGCGGATAGCTTAAGCCTGCATTTTCGTACTCACGCGGCGAATAATAACATATTGAACTTGCCACTACCACCACCGGCACCGCCACCCATGTCCCACCACTATCACCACCATCATCCGGCTGCAGCACCACCATCCACAGCAGCTATGCATCATCACGATGCCCTGCAGCTGCACCATTTGGCGCCGCCAAATGCAGCCACCCAAATGGGCATGGCGGCAATGGCACATATGCTGGCACCACCTCCGCCGCCACCGCCTACGCCCAGCGACGGTCGCTACACCATGCTGCATCACACGGCGGCGCAACGTTTGCACTACTAGAAATAAAAATACATGATTAATATATATGTATAGTATAAGACCAATGTCCCGAAATGTCTAACTTATAAAGAGGAAACATGTCCAACAAAAAAATACATTTGTATATATGCCTCTTAAATTGACCTTAGTTAGACGGAGAGGAACTTTTAAACTTGCAGGTAAAGTTATTGTTATAAATAATTGATCGCAAAATCTGGTATGTCTTTTGTTTCCACTAAGTTAAATAGTTTTTAAAGGTTATTTTTTTAATATTATGAACACTTTTATTTAAGCATTACATATGCATATATGTATATATAAAATGGAATTGTTTTTGTCATATTTGCTTTGTATTCGTTTTGTACAATAAATATAAAAATTTGGCAAGCACAGCTTCTATAAGATCATTGCTTAAATGCACAACTAAAATCACTTAAAATGTCATTCAACATACATTTAACCGTAGTTATACTGTACGCTGATGTCTGCTCTACAATTCTTTGTATAAATAATGCTTGTCTTGAGTATAGAAAAATTGTCATAATTCATATATTGGTTTGGTATGTATCGTTATCGTTGGTATTATGCTTCGGCTCCATTCAAAATATATGTGTGTATGAGAAACTACTTGTTAAATATTGCTTTATATACGACTGCCATTTTGGACTACTCAAGCTGGCTCTACTTAAGCTTAGCCCTTAGCCATTCCTCGGTCAGCTCGTCCAGCTCGCGTATCTCATAGACGCGTGTCAAGTCCACCTCCCGCTGCAGCGCACTCTTCGTGCAGGCGTACATCATCTGCAGCTCTATCTGACTGTCGCGCGGTGTATAAAATATGAAGCACATTGGATATGAGACGCGCTGATCGTCGTGCACCATTTTGTATGTGTAGATAACATAGCGTGGCTGATGGCCGGGCAGTGAGTCTTGCAGCTCCTCGACAGATATGTCATCAATAAACTCATCGAGCACCACCGATTGCTTCTCCCTGTCCACTTTTACTAGATAAGGGATGGTGGGAAAGGAGGAAAGACAGAAAGCCATCAATCAACGCCCGATTTGCTTTGCGATGCCTTGGGGCCTCGATGACTACATGGCTGCCATGGCAATGCGTACATACATTAAAATTTATAATTTGCCCACTTACATATCAGCGCCGAGTTGGTTTTGCTTTTGCGAAAGCGAAACTTTTTCAGTTCCTCAAGCACCTCATTGCTTATGTCGCATATTTTGTTATCACCCTGCAATGCATCGAAAGTAATTAGTAAATGTATCAAAAATCACCTTCTTTATCTCATAAACAAAAACGCAAACACAAAAACAAAAAATGACCCGCCCACATCTCGACTCGCCGCACTTAGCAAAACTATTAGTCATAGCTCGGCGAAGGATGCATTGCATATTAACAAACAGAATCTTACCATGAAGATCGGACTGCACTTTGGCTTTAACTGTTGAAAGGGACTGGTTTTTTGGGAATAAAAGGCCGCGGACAATACAAACAATAAAACTATGGCCGTTTAGCTGCTTTGCTTTTACTCAACACTAACAGTTACACATACAGCTGTGGGCACCCTAAAACTTTTACATTGACTAAAATGTTATTAACAGCGCGCACTAATTTACTTCTCGCAAAACTGGTATTTTTTAAGTTTTTCCAATATTTTTAATGTATTTGGCTGATGCAGATTAGTACAGAACTATACAGCTGTTAAGCTCACATAGTAAAAAAGGGTTAGGGTGTGACATACATAAACCTTTTTGCTAAGTGCCTAATTAAAGGCAACGAGGCTTTACCAGACAGCTGTTGTTTAACATTAGTTATCAGCTATAATATCGAATATAAATTAAGTTAATGATATGAGAACGGTTTTCTTTCATTTCAATATAATGTGTTATAAATCAATTATTTCTTGTTATTTCAACATACAAAAATAGCAACGCACTCAACCTCGACGCGTTTTATTGTTCAGTTAACGATCATTTTTAACTTTAAGAGTTGCCAAGTGTTGCAAATCGCTCAACTTTTACCGCCAAAAAGCAGCCAGGATGCTTAAATTTACCGTTTGTTGCTCCTCGAAAATAAGCATTAAATGCAAATGCACAATTAGGAATCAGTATGCCGCTAGACCGAATAAATTTAAGCGTAAACGATGATATCAACCAGTTAAAGCCTTGCTGGATAGCTGGCGACAGAAAATATTCAACTTTGCAATTTGCTAAGGTGTTTGCGCGTCATGAAATTAACGCCATCGACGTTGCTGCCAGCTGGTAAGTGTAATGCAGTATTTCCTCTTGCTATTATAATCTGAAATTGCAAATATTTTCTATTGCTTGCTAGTGATCAAATAAGAGACATGATTGACAACAATCAGGCAAAGACAGCAGGAACTGACAATGCACTCGACACGTGTAGCCGTAGAGTGGCTGCGTTTAACGACTTAACCAGGCTCACGTTCGGCGTAAGCTACATTCTGAGCCAACAGGTGTCCACGCTGCTGGGTAACTTTAAAAAGAAACAATTTGCTATTGTTTGTTCATGATTATTATTGTTGCACAGATGATACTAAACATTTGCTGGATCAAATCATGGGCAACAACTTGGAAATACCCTGTCAGGCGAAGCCACCACGTCAAACGCAGACACACGGCTGTCGTAAACGAAAGCGAATCATCTCCACAAAGACGACTACGATGTGTTTAGCCAAGCGCGCTAGAATTAGGGATCCTCAGCTGTTGGACGAGCAAAATATTGACTACTATAGGCACATGTTATCGGAATCGCAGCTGTGGAATACAGAAACCGAAAATCTAGAGATTGAGCAGGTCAGTCCAGTACAGGTGCATAATTTACAGCATATCTTTTACCATGTATACTTTATCTGTTAGATTCAGACCATTGAAGTGGCACGCACGTGCTCAGCACAGCATATGATTAGCTTCACACATGAACTGACTATGACGGAGCTCGGCGAGGATATACTGTGGAACGATGGCTTCGGTGAATCAAATCCAGTGGATGTCACTGCTCTTGAAGAGTTTCTTCCATTTAGAAATTCCTGTATGACAATCTGTTATGCTATATGCATAATCTAATCTACATTTATTTGTTTTAGTAAAGCGCAAATCGACTGATTCAATGCCAACTGGTGTTTTGTGCTACAAAATGCCCAGATTAGCAACAAGCTTGGATCTGCCAAATACTAACGGTAATACGCAAGCACTCGATCTATATCAAGAGATTGAGCCACTTGCCCCATTGCCGCCGCTTCCACCCCCAATTGTCGCTCCGACGCCAAAGCCAAAATTAAAGCGCAAGTTCAAAATGATAGATAAATGCATTAGGCTATCGCGCGAGGTGCTCTTACGCGATAGGGAACTTCTATTTAACAAACTGGAAAGTGCAAAACATGTTAAACCTCAGATTATGAAGCATAGTAATAAAAGTGAAACATTTCTGAACAGCTTTAGGCAAGAGTAAGTATTTGCAGTTTTTTTAACTCTTCTATTTTAATAACAATATTTTTCCTGCTGCAGTCATCTTTTTCCAGAACGTTTAAAAAGAGATTTACAACTGAGCTGCGAACAAATTGAGTTGGACTGTGAATATACAATACGCGCTATATTCGGTGAGGATTATAGTGATGATCTGGTCGGTGAGATCTTGTCGGCAATTCCAGTAAGGCCTCAACCGACAAACCCCTTAGAAGAGGCTCCTATGCCCATGCTAGAGCCAGCTGAAAACCATTCACCTCATGTACTTGAGCTGCAACAATGCAGCAATAGCAATAATAACAACACGTACGAGCACATAAAAAGTTATGACGAAAAGAATTTTGGTATGTAAACTTGTAACTTGAGCTGTATTTGTTAACTCATGTCTTACTTATTATCAACAAAGATTCATTGAGCATCATGATGGATTTGCTCAACATATGGCGCAATGATCCCGATAGAAAGACTATTGATGCCAACAAGTTTGTAAAGTCCTTTCCGGATCGCATTAAGGCGGCTTTGGCTTTTAGCCATTTGTTAAGTAAGACATGATTTATATTAAATTATGATAAAAACTCAACATATTTAACAACAAAATGATCTTTGCTTAACAGCTCTTTCACGTGACGGATTTATAAAGCTCTCCGCAAAGCCGGAATCTGTTGAAATTGATGCCATTACGTTGGGCGAAGAATCTATCAGACTTATCGAACATGTTTCGAGCTTTGAACAGCTTAATTAATTAAAACTCAATTCTTTGGGCGAAGCATCTAATTCGAGCTTCGAGCAGTTCAATTAATTACTACTCTATTGCTTATATATTTTGTTTTTCTTTTCTTTTTTTTTTATATATGTATATATATAAAAACTCGTTCCTTGTTATCGTTATCATAACTATAATTCATTAACACTTTTGTAATTCTCTAAATCGTTCTTTGTTATCTTTTGTCTTAAACTTCTGTACTTAATCCCAGGACAACCAAAATATATGAAACAAAATTATTGAAATTAAATACCAATTTGTTGGGCCAGACCCGCATAAATATGCAGTGAACAGAAGCCGATGATGGCAGCCACCAGCGCCTTAACCGCAATCGCTGACCAAGGTCCAATGCTCAGTATATGCAAGAGTCCTTCCAGCCAGACTCCTTTGAAAATGGTGACTGCCAGCAAAATGGAGACTAGGGGTTTTAATGCATTGTTGAGATCGTGACGCGTGAACAGCCAAATCAGCGTGGCAGTAGTCAGGTGCTGTACGAGCAGGACATTGGACTCCAGACATTTCTGGATGTAGATCCAGCTGAACTCGGTGCCGCGGGCGCCCACCCACAGCATAATGCCACGGGAGAGTATTACCTCAGCGGTAGCCCCTGAAATGTACAAGGCTATTTGTAATGCATGTTTTTATTTCATATGATCCACTTACAGCCCAGCCCAGCGGTGATGAGTTTGGAATGGCCCTTGCCAGGTATGCGGCTTAGAATGAGCGCGAATCCAAGTAGATCTGCCACGTCCACGCTGCAGCGCAGAATCTCCTATATTTAGATGCGTTTAATTGGATCTGACCCAATTTCTAGATTTGTCAATCGCTTACCGCAAAGAAATTAAACTCCCCGCTATTTGACGCCGAATCCGAGTAGAAGAATGTGGCTAAAACGAGCATTTTACAGAGCTGTGTGAATATGTAAATGCAACCCGCTTGCACGCATTTCCAGAATGCGCCATACTCTGACCTGAAACAATAAAAAATGTTTATTGATTAACACGATTTATTGGTTGCCCCAATATAGCATCTAGTACGTACAGGCCCGAGTATTTGTATGTAAAGTAATATGGCAAAAGAAGCGCAACACAGTTTCCAAAGTGATAGAGCGTCATTTTATCTTATAAACCACGACTTTTTCTGTTAATTAAGTTGAAACATTAATTTATTGTACAATTGGCACACGAGACATCAATGAAAAAAACACTAGGCAGAGGAAGAACGGCGAGAGTAAGAGCAGCTGTCAAATATTGCCGGTGGTGCTGTCAACTTGTGTAAATTGGGTATTTAATTACCAACAATGCGCTCTGCAAGGGCGAAAATAATAAATACTTTTTCTTATTATAAAAGCTGAATAATAATAAAAGTAAAATATTTTTTTAAAAGAGCCTGAAGCTAGGCAATTAAATAAAACATGTTTGTACTTAAGCTAATATAATAATTATATTTGTTCAGTTTTAGTATTATTTTTAATTTACAACTTTTAAGTGCGTTGGCAGCTCGAGGCGCCAGCAACACGTCATCTGTCATCTGGGACGGCTTGGCTGTGTGTGTGTGTGTATGAGTTTTTTTTAGGACAAAATATCCAGCAACTCTTAATTAAAATCGCCAAATTCCACAGAATATGTTCTTAAGAAATTTATAAAAATATATTCAGCGTAAACACTAAATTCGGCCAAAAGCGACAGCACGTATAACTGAATCGTCTGCAGATTGCAAAACAACAATTTTCGCAAACAGTTTCGCAAGTCTAAACACGACAAAAACAACAGTAAAAGCACAACGCAGTGCATGACGAATGCAAGAAAAAGCAACGTCAACAACAAATACTTTAGCAACAACAACAAACAGTAGAAGAGCAGCAGCAGCAGCAGAGGAGCTTGACTTGAAATGAGATGCAAACTCGACGTCGTCATCAACAAACGGACCAGCAGGAATTCAGCAGCAATTACAGTGCCCCGCAATTGCCACTGCAGCAGTCACTGCAACAGCCACAGCAGCAGCTGCAGCAGCAGACGCTAATCCAACCGGGGCAGACCCAATTATTGTACGCAGCTCAGCAGCCCACGTTCGAGGCTGCTATTAATATTGGCGACGCGCAATCCAGTGCAGAAGCAGACGATAAGTACGAGAAGGCCGCCCGCCAGTGGAATTTGTTCAGTGGCATCTCGTCACGGTCGGGCCAGGCGCTGCGCACGTTCATACAGCAGCCACTGAGCGCCGCTGCGGCTGTTGTTACTGGCAATCATCCAAACCAAACACAAAACTCCGACAATAATAACAGCAGTTACGATAAAGGCATCTACAATTTAGGAGCGCCTCAAACACAGGTAGAGCCTGACGAGTTTGACTTGGCAGAGGAGCAGGAAGTATTTATAATGGCAGCACGAGATCGTACGGGCGAGTTCGCCAATGCGATACGTTCGCTACAGTCACGGAACATCTCACGAGCAGTTAATATACGGGATCCACGCAAGGCCAAACAAGTGCAAAGCTATTCCGAGTTCATGATGGTGGCCCGTTTCATAGGCAAAAACATTGCCAGCACATATGCCAAACTGGAGAAGCTGACCATGCGTACGTCAATCCCTCATAATATCAAATTTCAGTTAACGCTCACGTATTTCCCATTCAATTGCAGTGGCCAAAAAGAAGAGTCTGTTTGATGATAGACCGCAGGAGATACAGGAGCTGACGTACATCATCAAAGGTGATCTGAATGCATTGAACCAACAGATCGCCAAACTACAGGACATCTCTAAGGATCAGCGACGCACCACAAACGGCAAGCATCTGGTATCACATTCCTCAAACATGGTGCTCGCCCTGCAATCCAAGTTAGCCAGCATGAGCACAGACTTCAAGCAGATACTTGAAGTGCGCACCGAAAATCTCAAGCATCAGAAGACGCGACGCGATCATTTTAGCCAGGGACCAGGACCGCTGGCCGCACACACCGTTTCGCCTTCGACTGCCAAACAGGGCTCGCTGCTGCTTAGCGAGGAGAACCAAGCAGTTAGCATAGATATGGGCGGCAGCGATACGACGCCGCTGCTGGGACCGCCGGCGCGCCTGCAGCAACAGCAACAGCTGGCCATTTACGACGAGTCCGACACGTATGTGCAACAGCGTGCCGAGACCATGCAGAACATCGAGTCCACAATTGTGGAACTGGGTGGCATATTCCAACAGCTGGCGCATATGGTTAAAGAGCAGGAGGAGATTGTTGAACGCATCGATACGAATGTGGCAGACGCGGAATTAAATATTGAGGCAGCGCATGGCGAGATACTCAAATATTTTCAATCCGTTTCAAAGAATCGTTGGCTCATGATTAAGATATTCGGTGTATTAATATTTTTCTTCCTGTTCTTTGTTGTTTTTATGTCATAATTAATGCTAAATACCCCAAACCCTGCCCCGCTCGATTCAATTCTAAATTATTGTGAATACATGGCATATACACATATATATATATAAATATATTTTTATGGAAATGGAGTTTAAAATGTACAAAAGCAAAATATTGCATTCTTGATTCCAATCCAAAACCGAACCGACTAAAGAGTATAAAATAAAGTTATCAAGATACGTACGAATCTGATGTTGTTTCCATGCTGAACTTGAAGAATTATATCTATCTTGTAGGCTTGAAGGCTGATAAGAACGCGTTCTAATCTTTACGATCCACGTACTTCATAGATATGCGGCTAGTCTGCTCCGAAGCTCAGTTGAAAATGCCGCTGTCTCTCAGGCTATGCAAAAATATAAATTATAAATTAAATTTTTCCTCTTTTACTTTATTTCTTTTATTCTTAGGCTTCAACTACCAAATGCAAAACTAATAAAAATAATAATAAAAAAAACCTTTACAAATCTCCAACAGTACATAACCCAGACGCATGCCAAAGATGTTATTGTTATGGTTCGCATTATGAATAAACTCGCAAATTTTTACACATGAAACATTGTTCGTTGCTCCCAAATGGAGTTGCATGTGTATGTGTGTGTGTGTGTGGGCCATACACAATGACAACTTTTATATGATGATGTAGATGCGCCGGTGCCAACAATGAGATCCCCTCGCAGCTGTCTTTTTACCCTCTATGTAGAGATGAGCGAATATACCATGCTAAAATTAGCAGAAAACAAAACAAAACATTGAGTTATACGGGCACAGAATGATTTATAAGCATTATTACCCGTATATATAGTAGAAGAAGCTGATCAAGTAGACGGCCAATTTGATCCAACCCTCGCGCAGATTGCGGGATAATGTGTCCGTCTTCAATACGGTGGTGGGGTCATACAAGCCCGGACCGGACATAAGAGGCCGATTCTTGTAACTGCAAGCGATTAATAAAGCATGCCATAAAATCATAATTTAGTTGAGACAACAACAACTTACCGCCATATGTGATAGGCTATGAGAGGTATATTGAGGCACAGTGAATACCATTCGCCGCAGAATAGGAAAAGCAAATTGAGGAATAGGTGCAGCAAATATTCTGGTAAGACGAGCTGTAAAAACGATTAGTCATTGCATTGGTAATGTACATGCTGATATAATCAAGGTGCTTACCGGGTTGAGACTGTTGCACTGATCGATTGGATTTTTATAATCTGTTTTTAGCTCATCGAATGCAATCACATGAAATATTGCGAAAAATATTAAAAATGCATCGCCAATGAGCGCTACAATATACGTGAATGCGGTAAAATTAAAGGCCATTGTTAGAAGCGGGCGTCACTCGAATACTGCTGGCTGATATTTAAAGCTGTGAAAAATAATTTGTTGTTTATTTTAATTAGAATTAGTTTGAACTACGCACTTGTCCTGCTACATGAGTGTATGAGTCGTGTAGAATGATGATGACAGCTGCGGCTGTCGATTGTCTGTTAGCTTAAATGTTGGCCTAGTGTTATTAACAGCATGTTTCAGTGTTTCCCTATTCCCTTTTTAGTTGTGCAGTTTCTTAGGTTTAAAGAACGATTTATGAGAAAAAACGGCTTTATAATACATCGATTTTTGTCGCTAATTGACATATATTTGTAATCAATAGATGATAACATAATAATAATTAGCCACAAAAGTGGAACAACAGATTCTGTAAAAGGTGTGTCGACTGGGATGTGGAAGACAGCTGTAGCCCAGGGCTGCAAGGCTTTTAACATAATTATCGCGTATGAATTCCGATAATACGATTTACGTACAATATTAAAGTTACACATGAATTTTGTTAGGCTTAGCATATTTTATAATTATTAAGTGATGTTATTCATTGCTTTGCATGGTAAAATATTTATACTTTTGATCAATTGTCCGTTTGAAGCATCGTGTAGTTTGGACTGTGTAGCCCTGGTAGCATTTGTCGCGGGATTTTCATATCTATGCATTTCTAAACCGCCATTGCAATTTTTACAGTAGCAAGGAAACAACTGGACGAAAAAAGAAAAAGCCTTTACAATCGATTAAAGATTTTTGTGATAGACAAATAAATACAAAAATAAACTAAACAAGCAGAGACTGTAATTTGTATGTGAAAATGTCTCAGTTCAATTTTGTGAGCGACTTACAAAATGCATTGATCATGGACGGCGAGACGCGTGGTCCTGCGCCGCGCTGGAAGAAGAAGCTGGAGGCGTCCCTTAATGGCAGCGTAAATACGACACGCTCCGTGCTATCCGTTTCATACAATACCAGCTTTTCGGGCGTCCAAGCGCCAACCAAGACACCAGGCAAAAGCGCCGACGCGAAAGCTAAAAAGCCAACGATAACGCCAAGCAAGACGCCTGGCGGTGGGGATCGCTTTATACCGAATCGTGCTGCCACCAACTTTGAGTTGGCACATTTTCTGGTAACTAATGCAGTTTGGTTAATAGAAATAGAGTGTAAATACGAATTAAATAACAGGTCAATAAGGACGCTGGCGAAAAATCCGACGAGGAGAACGACCAACAGCCGACGAGCAGCAACAGCAATGAAAATAATGTGCAGGCATCTGCGCATAAGGGCGAACGCCAGAAACTCATCGCCGAAGTGGCCCAGGTGGGCGAGAGCAGCAAAAGTGGACGCATTTTGTGCTATCAAAATAAGGCACCCGCAGCTCCCGAATCCCATACGAATCCGCTTAAGGTTGTCTACTCCCTGAAAACGCCGATTTCGACGAAGAGCGGTTCACGCTACATACCCACGACATCGGAGCGCATACTTGATGCTCCAGACTTTATCAATGACTACTGTAAGTCGTGTTCACTCTTCCTTTAGTATACATTTGCTCATCCCTTTCGAATCGACAGACCTAAATCTAATGGACTGGAGCGGTGATAATATTGTGGCCGTTGCTCTGGGCAACTGCGTTTATCTGTGGAATGCAGCCAGCGGCAACATTGAGCAGCTGACCGAGTACGAGGAGGGCGACTATGCGTGCGCGCTTTCCTGGATACAGGAGGGACAGATTTTGGCTATTGGTAATAGCACCGGCGCCGTGGAGCTCTGGGATTGCTCAAAGGTGAAGCGCCTGCGCGTGATGGACGGCCACAGTGCGCGGGTCGGCTCTCTAGCCTGGAATTCCTACCTGGTGTCGTCGGGCAGCCGCGATGGCACCATTATACACCATGATGTGCGCTCCCGTGAACACAAGGTGTCCTCGCTAAACGGCCACGCCCAGGAGGTGTGCGGCCTCAAGTGGTCCATCGACTTCAAGTACTTGGCCAGCGGCGGCAACGATAATCTCGTAAATGTTTGGTCGCTGGCCGGCAACGGTGTGGGCACCGCCACAGAGCCATTGCACAAGTTCAATGAGCATCAGGCGGCAGTGCGTGCCCTGGCCTGGTGTCCCTGGCAGCCCAACACCTTGGCATCGGGCGGTGGCACTGCGGATCGCTGCATCAAGTTCTGGAATGTGTGCAATGGCTCGCTCATCAAATCGGTGGACTCCAAATCGCAGGTGTGCGCGTTGCTCTTCTCGCGGCACTACAAGGAGCTGATATCGGCGCACGGCTTTGCCAACAATCAGCTGACCATCTGGAAGTATCCGTCGATGATCAAACAGGCCGATCTAACCGGACACACATCGCGTGTGCTGCAAATGGCCATGTCACCCGATGGCAGCACTGTGATAAGCGCTGGCGCCGACGAAACGTTGCGTCTGTGGAACTGCTTTGCACCCGATCCCATGGCGGCCAAAAAGGTGTCCAATGTCAATAGCAATGCCAAGAAAAGCGTCTTTCGCCAGAGCATACGCTAGTTGACCCATTGACCCATTGACTAGCAGAGACTGAACTGCATTTTGTTTAAACTAGCGACAAATTAATTATTTTTTGATAAGATTCTTGTAGGCAGCCAATTGATGTTTTTTTTTGTATAAGTATGTGACTTTTAATATTTGATATGTGTATTTTCTATATATTTAAGTTTGTGCATTTTATCTATATTATGTATTAATAAATTTAAAATTGATGTAACATATAAATAAAATGCTTGCCATACTGCAACCTTATGCTTTATTCTCTTCGTTTTCGTTTAAAAGTAGATTGACAGGCTTACATGGTAAACAATATTATATATATATATTTTTTTTTTTTGAGTTTTTCGGCTTTTTTCTGTCTCTTTTTATTGTAAGTACATATTAGTTGGTTGCATTGCTGTAGCTCTTCAGGTTTTTGAGTTTTCTCGTTTGTTTTTTTTTTTTTTTGTTCATCGTCGTGTGGAACGTTGTGTCAAAATATCGAATGTGGGCTTCGGGATCAGCACAGTTCTTTGCCGATAAGCAGCTGTTATTGGAATTATAGCGTTGTTAAATAATAGTGTGTATTATGGAGCTGTTCTATGTACAATTGTTGATGTAATTTCAAGCAACTGTCATGGGATTGCCGCCGTTATAGCTGACAAAGTAACGCGGATCACCGAAGCGATCGTACACCTGCAAGAATATGAGACACAAAAATCGAATGTGAACATCAAAATGGAAGAGATATCAAATAATTGAGTGAGTTCAATAAATAAAAATCAACACAAGAATACCAACAAAATAAGCAACAAAACGCAAATTTGGCTATATAATCATGCAATTGAAAATATGTGCGTACTTACATTACTTTTATTTATGACTCGGCTCAAAATATAATTTCAATTTTGTTTAATCCAATACTTTTTAGAATTTTGTTTTGTTTTTTTTTTTTTTGGTTTTAGAATAAAATGTTTATTTGCAACATAATTCATTCAGTCAAAACATTGAAACATCAATTAGATTTAACTAACTTAGGTTAAATTAAGTGTGTATAGTTTTTCAATTTTCATTTCTATACTTTCTTTTTGTTTTTCCATATATCGGGGTTAGGAGCCAGCATGTTTGACTGCTAAATACGTACATTTGTATAGTTCTAGTTCTAGTTTTAGATATATCTCTATATGTTAGTTGCTTGCACATACACACAGACAGTCACGCACACTTATAAACAAACACACATACACTCGCACATAATACAGTCAAAAGGAGATAGAGAGCGCGAGAGCTGGGGTGGGGAGTAAGTGGGAGTGAGAGTGAGAGAGCAATAAACATCTAGTTACATAGACAGCTTAAATTAGACAACATATAATAGAGAGGGGGGGGGGGGGGGGTGGGGGGGAGAGTAGCATAAATATCTCATGAACAGCTGATGGATGTTGGATAGTCCTTCATACATAGCATATGTATATGTATATGCATATGTATATGTATACATGTATCTAGATATTGTGTATTGCATTTTGTTCGTTATTTTGTTGGTTGATTCTTACAGTGGGCAACTTTTAGCTTTTAACTGGACGCTCTACTAAAACATAGAGCAGCCTTTTTCTATGTACACATATATGTGTATATATATATGTATGTTTACCATAGATATCATATAGAGCGGACGGTTATTTCTATTTGCAGCTGTTCTTTTCTATACATTTTTTTTTGTTTTTTTTTGCTTTTTTGGTTGGTTTCACAATACATAAGTGTTACAATACAATTTCTCTTTTTTTTCTTCTCATTTTTGTTTTTCTAGTTTCAACTTTAGCTGAAGACCAGTTCAGCTTTTTTTTTTTTTTTTGAACATTTTGGAAGCTGTTGGTGGTGACCCGTGATGATAACTTATGTTCTATGGGTTTCTCAATGATATTCTATATAGATGGTTGTTTTTTTGTTTTTCAGATTTTCTTGGCTTATGTTTTTTGTTTAGGCTGTGACGCTCACCTTCGTATCGTCTAGATCTTCAATATCGCTACTGTCGTAATCACTATCGGGCGGTGTTAATGTCTCTGCGCCGCGTTTCTCTAGTATGTTCTGCATGCGCGATTTATTCAATATGCTGGCAACCTGATATGCCGTTAGGCCGGCATATGTGGCCGTCTCCAGGTTGAGTTTCTCGCATTCGTCTAGCAGAAAATTGGCCAAATCCTCGTTGCAGCACTCAATGGCAATGTGCAGCGGTGTGCGTCCACCTTTGCCCTCCTATAATTCATAATACAAAGGTCAATTTGTATAAATAATTGTTGCTAATATTAAAAAAATATCTTGTTTAACTTACCCGGGCATTTATGTCGGCGCCGTGAGATACTAAAATGCGCAAGATATCAATGTGTCCAGCGCCAGCAGCCAAATGCACGCAGCGTTCACCTGCAAAGGTAAAGGAAAACAAAAATAAATAAAAAATTAAATTAATTAATTGCCTTAAGGAAAATGCATTTGGCACCACTGTGCGTTGTTCAAGCTACATTTATGAATGAAATACGATCCCTTGAAAAGTGCTCTGCGAAAAAGCTCCGCTGTGTTGTTGTTTAACAAGTAACGTTTTAACAACAAGAGCAAGAAAAAGCTTTGATTACGCCAACAGCAGATGGAGCAGGCGGGCGGGCGGGCGGGCGGGCGGGTGTACAGTTGAAGGGGACAGCTTAGCGAGCGTGTTTTGCCATATGAAGACAATGTGCACACTAACACACACATAGACACAGGCACACGCACACGCACATGTGCTTGACTGCGTGTGCCTTTTGCATTGGTATGCGTTGAAAAACCCGAGAAATTCCCACAATAAAACAGCAGCAATAACAGCTACAACAACAACAACAAAAAACCAGCAGTGGCATAAAAAGCGATGGCAACAAAAACAACTAAAATGCAAAAACAAAAAAATAAAGTTAACAAACCCAACAAGCTGACTTTTGTTGGAGCCCCAAGTTTGATCAAGTTCAAATTGGTTTCAGTTAAAAGAGCAAAAATGTTTGCGCATAATTTAACGGCGTCCAGAAAAAGACACCAACAGCAACAGCAACAGCAACAGCAACAACAACAGCTGCAATAACTCAACTGACATTCGACGCGTTGTACTAAACGACGCTTTTATATAAATAAATAAAACAAGATAAAAAAACAAAAAAAAACACAATGCTCAAATTGTATTCCGCTGCTCGATCGCGCATACAGATTAACAAAAACACAACAACAGCTACAACGGCAGCTTTTGACTGTTGCCGCAGCAGCTGTTGTTGTTGCTGTTGCTGTTACACGTGCTGTTGATTAACTTTCACACACAAACAGCTCAGCTGCTGTTCAGTTGCTCATTTGCATTCAATTTCCGTAAGAACTTTCAATAAAACGCATAAAGCTGCGCATGCGTTGCCAACGATATGTGCGAGCGTGTGTATTTATTAAATACTGCACACTGTGTGTTGGCAATATTTGCAATTAGCTTGATTATTTGCGCCGATTAGGATAAATGTTTAGCTGCGCATGCGTTGCCAACGATATGTGGGAGCGTGTGTGTGAGTTGGCAATGTGTGTGTGTGTGAGTTGGCAATATTTGCAATTAGCTTGATAAGGATAAATGTTTATGAACTAGATTGATTTTTGTTTGGGCTGGCCACAAGTTGGTTTTGCAAAGGTGCGATTAATGCGCATTAGCATTAGTATTAATGGCCGCGAGCGTTAGAAATTAATCATGCCGATGATTAAGGCTGACTCAAATCTATTCATGCGCATGATTAAACTTTATGACAACGACAAAACCATATTCTAAAAGCAGCTACTAGCCGAAATGCGACAAAGGAATAATATATACATTTATATATACGAGCTATACATAGTTTGGCTCGCAAAGAAAGCAGATATCTGGCAAGAAAGTTAAAGCCGGGTCGGGTCCGTTGCCAGTTTGTTGTCTCAGTCCAGTTCGGGCAAAGGCTCACAAACAATAACAACAATTGTGTCACAAGTTTTAAATATAAACGATGACAGCATTTTTTTTTTTGTTCGCCCGCCTCTGTCTGTGAGCCAAACGGAGCGAGTCCGAGCCGGCAGCATCAGCAGGGCCAAGAGAAGTCGAGATTATAATACGAGCGCATAAACTCGATGGCGATAGTAAAAGCCAAGTCAAGCCGAGTCAAGCACAGTTCCATTGTTGCCAGTTGCCAGTCTGCCAGCCTGCCTCTTGTCGATCGTTAGCATACGATTAAATAGCTTGTACATATACATATAGTATATATATATATATATATATATATGTGTAGGTACGTTTAGCTTAAATATGAAATATTAAACACACAAAAAGTTTGCCTCAAACTTGGGGAATTCCCAAGCGTGCTGCGTCACACGCTTTAGATTTCAAATCGTTGCGAATCCGTTCCAGAGCTGGGCTTGGTTAGATTATCATCATCCAAAGCTCTGGCTGGACTTGTTGCCAACAAGTCTGAGCACAAAACTTGACGGACCAACCAACCAAAACCCCCTCCCCCCATCCGGCCCACCGCCCGCTCGTAAAACAAGACAAAAGCAGCTAAACTTGAAATGGCGATTTCGTCGGCCTGCTTTTCAGATAATATAATAATAATAATTATAACGCTAATCGAATGTGAGCTTGGGCAATTAATAAGCGTTACGAAATGCTCACGAGAATTGCGCACATTCAATGCGAATCCTCAAAAATAAAAGCCGATTAAGAAATAGAAAACTACTTGACATTATGCACCTGGTACTTTCCGCAATTGTTCAACTGTTCTGGCCCTTTGTTATCAACCACCACCCCCCCCCCCCCCCCCCCCCTGCCACGCTGTCCCTGCTCCAGTTTTTGTTAGCACAGGCGGCAATTTCCGACCTTAAGCAAAAAACCCGAGTCGCAAAGTTCACAAATTTATTGACAGCACAAATATTAAAAAGAAAAAAAAAACCGTTTTTTTTTTATATTTTGTTTTGTTTTTGTCTTTGGTTAATTTTAATTAATTGTGCTTATTGTTAGCAAGCGAACTGTGTAGAGTTTTTATTTAACACAATTTTTTGGTATTTTGACAACTTGTTTTGTTTTTGTGGCTTACCGAACCCCCCCCCCCCCCCCCCCCCCCCCCCTTACTGCCCCTCCCACTTATATCATTTGCAGTTCGTTGGTTGTTTGTCCTTCAGAGTCAAGTGGTAAATTGAACAGTTCATTGATTCATAATTAAATCATAAAATTGCTTTGTTTATCAAATATAATATCCATAAGAACATGTATATATTTAGCGATTGGACAACAACGAACAAAATTCAAGATTCTCAATTTTCGATAAGCGTTATCGGTCTTGGTCTGTTTCCTATTCGACTAGTTATCAATTAACATTAGAAATATTTTAAATTCCAATTGGTTTGCGCAATTCACTTCCTTGACTTCGCTTAACATATGTTAGCAGAGATACATATGTTAACAGACACATGTTAGCAGATATACATACATACGTATGTTTACAGACATATGTTAACTAACTTATGTTAGCTACGCTTAGCACTATTTTAATTCTGTTCTGTAAGGAATTCCTGTTTATTTTCTATTTCTGTTTGACTTGTTATCTATTAACGTTAGATATATTATAAATATATTGAATTCCAATTGGTTGGGGCACAAAAATAGAAAACACTTTGATAATTATGACATTGAGTTTTGGCTTTGCCAGGCATTAAAGTGGATTTATTATATTACAAAGAACCAGGCCAATGGGAGAATGGGGATTTACCTGGGCCGAAATAAAAACGTCGCCAAAGACAACTGTTTAAACAAAGAGAACAATATACAGCTAATGGCTGTTTGCCTAAAGACTTCTGGCGCCACAATTGGTTGCCGGTTTGTGGTTGGAAAGTTTATTGTGGAAAATGAAGTGAAAACCCCATACAAAAAAAAACACAAAAAACCAAATGAAGCGTTAAATCAACAGCAACAAACAAATAAATTTAGCACAATTAATGGTGGATTTTCCAAGCGTAAGTTAACTTTTTTTTACCAGCCATAATTTAATTTGGTTTTTCTTTTTTTTTTTTTTGTTGGCGAATCGAGCCGTGGGCAAAGCCTCAATTTGGTAGCCGGCTGAGACGTCAGGTTATGTCATGAAACCGTTTGTTGACTTTCTTTTCAACGAAATGCAAATATATGCGATACATATGTATATATAGGTATATATCTGTGTGTGTGTGTGTGTGTGTGTGAAGGTGTGGAAGATCGTGCCACGTGCTGTTAACCACAGCGTAAATACTGCATGCCGTCGGGTAGCCAGTCCATATATGTGGGCTATTTATGGACATATGGGCAAAACCCCGCAGAGGTCAGCCACTGTAAAAAGCTGGCCCAAAAGCATTGTCAAGTGCTTGAAGCTTGAAGCTGATAAAGACCGGTAAAAGTTGTTGTTGACAATTGTGAGAGGTTGCACCTTGTTGTTAGGGTTTAACCCATCCAATATTGTAAGTGTCGAGTACAATGTGTGTCAACGACGTTGAGGTGAAAATTTGATCAGCATATTTAGAGACTGCGATTATAATGATCTGCAATTGCAGTCAACAATCAACTCGACAGGCATGAGCTCATAATTGCTGTGATAAATACACTATAAGCTGTTTTTTATCTAGCAGAGTGTGGCTATCGATCGGAGGCCTGACCTTGTCTCGAGACGCTGACTCGCAGTGAGTAATTTTGCTGCGATGTAAATGTCATTGGGCAGTGAATAAAACAATTCCAGAATGTTAGTAAATAATCATTTTATTTATTGACGTTAACAATTGTGGGTTAAACCTGTTCGTTTACGTGCCTAGCTGACGGGCACTCTCTGACAGTACAAAATTTGTTCAAATGCGATATTCGATTAGAAGAAATGTGCATAAGATATCGTATCGCTTCCTATACAAACAGCTGGCATTCGAAACAATAGACCTCAGCGAACATATGAGATCATAATAAACCATATGCTTTAAGCTTTAAAATAAATGTCAACTAAGAAAACCCCAAGTAACTATTTCTCGATATCGATTTATCGGTATACAAGTAGTATTTAACAACGATAATTATCGATGTCGTCACAATTATAATAAATGTAACGTAATCAACAGAAGAATAGAACGTAATCAATAGAGGAATATGTGAAGCATGTCACAATATCTACTAACGTTTTGGGATAAAGGCATATAAGTAGTCTTTAAAAACGATAATTATCGATTTAATGTTGTCACAATTGTAATAAATGTAACCTAAACAGTCCCATAAAAATAGATTATATTATCTCGATGATTATCAATCATTCAAAATAATCTTGAACTATTTGCAACTGTGAATCGATAATTATCGATTAATTACAATTATAACTTAAGTTAAACGGTTGCACGTGTCATTC